CTTGCCCGTAATCATCCGTAGACCTTCAAGCATGTCCCCAACAGTCATGTGGCTCCTCTGTGCGGCCTGTATCTTGCAGTAAACTAAGTTTAAGCCATCTGTGCATGCTTCGTCACACATGATCTCCTGTGGACTTAATAGCTCACCCCGGGATGAGCGGCGCACGAGTTCTTGAGGTACATTCCTGGGCCAGATCAAGAGAAGCGAGGAATGTCACCCAGAACAAGGGAGGAGAAGACAGGTAGGCAAACAGAATGATCGAGTCTGCAGCGGGAAGCTGACACAACAAGCAAAGGCGATGAGAGGCTCTTCGGATAAGATCATGTTTGCCTCTTGTACGTCACGGTCAGAAAGGAATACTGCTCCTTCCCAGCAATGGAATGTTGCTTGGGCGGTCCTGGTTCATATCTCACTCTGAGTTAGAGTCAGAGAAAGACTGAATATGCTGAAAACTAATCACCGGAAGTACTATCCACTGGCGTTTTGGAGGCTGAGAATTCGGACGCGCAGCTGCGAAAGAGTCTCCATGCATCATTAGACGTAGAATTCGCGTGGAGTACCGGCCCTCCAGTAACACCATAAAACTCAGCATAACACATTCCCTCATTAGTTTGGCGATCCAAGCAAGTTTATTCGGATCTCTTCGAGACCTTAGGCATCAAGGCCCAACCCACAAGCATCACACCATATAGCCCAATGCAGATTGGGTGAAGAACATATGTTCCCACACTCTGCGCTAACAAGCCCGTGAAGAACGGCGCAACGGCACCACCGCTACTTCCCATAGCACTGATAAAGCTCAAGCTAGAAATCTGAATATTCCTGGGAAGCAACTTGCTGAAGACTGCCGTAGCACAGGGGTAGACGGGGCCTAGCAGCAATCCCACAATAGCCACAGAAACCGCGTCCCCGATGACATTTGGAATAAGCCATGTCATAAGCTGGAAAGCAGCAGATCCCACAACCAGCAAAATAACCGCAAGCTTTTCTCCAGCCATATGCGCCGGATGCGAGAGCACAAAGCGTCCAAGGGTAATGCCCGCCCAAAAACCGGCGCTGACATAGCCGACATGGGAGGGATCTCCTTTACGATAGCTGATCAAGAACGAGACAACCCAGCCTGAGATAGAAACCTCTGCACCCTGGTATGCAAAGATGAAAAGAGCCCCGAGAAACGTCGTTTTGTTCTTAACTGCTTGCTTCAAGAGTTGCTTTTTGCTGGCCACATTGTGACCATGCTCCTGCTGTGAAGCCGTCTGCTGAAGCGCGGTGAGAAGTTGAATCGGCAGCTCTTTTTCATACCCGCGGAAGGTCCACATTGCAAACGCTAGGTTGAACACTGCTAGTGCGAGGTTGATGGAGTAGTAGACGGACCACTGGACACCGTCGGATACCATAGCCGTCGCTATTAGCGGTCCCATGATCCCCCCAATGCCGTAGCTGCCATGCATGGCGCCGAGAGAAGTCGTACTGTTCGCTAGGTTCGCACAGAAAACATTGTTCAAGGCCAAATTCAGTGCGATTCCGAATCCCAGCAGAAAGAAACTGGCCACAACGGCTGGAAATGGCGGTTTGAAGAGAATGATCACATATCCCGCAACCAACAAACTCATTGATAAGGCGTAAGATTTCGAGCGCCCGAGTTTTGCCTCAAAGAATTGTGTGACTGGCGCAGCAAGTATGAACCCCAGCGCGTTAGTCACAAAAATCAGAGACACGACTGCGTAACCGATATTGTAGTCTTTCTCAATGTACGGAATCAGAGCACCCGGGCCGCTGTCATTCAAGCCATTGGCCACATTCATCATACAAGCACTCAATAGTCGCCATCTTGTTGTCGCAGATGAGGTGGGATTCGGCAGTGGATCGATAGCATCGATAGCATCGACGGGACCGTCTTCTGCAGGTGAGCCCGGAAGGCTTTCCAACTCGCTGGGAGTGACGGGCGTGATAGGCATATGTACTCCGGTGCTTGGCCCAGATGCATGAGACTGGCCACTTTCGCGCATATGATCTAGCTCATATTCGGAGGGAGTGCGAGCGATACCCTGCCTATCTTTTCGCACCACGGCCGCAGGGTTAGCAATTGGCGAGGCGCTCTCAAACCGCACCACGGCCCCAAAGGCTGAGGTAGACATGGCGAGAGTGTGTTATCCTAATCCAGCTATATCAGGAAAGAGATATCTGAATGTAGCTGGAGAAGTCGAACGATTCCTGCGGAAAAGAGCGTGAAAAAGAAGATTCTTAGAAGCCCATGAGGTGCCGCACCAACATTTATAATCATGTTTGGAAAATGAGTTCCGATGACGACCAGCTGACTCAAGGCGAGATATCTTCACGATAGGTGTGCTAAGATCTTCCAGGTTCCAGAACACAATGGGAGCCATTTAGTGCATTGTCAGCTGGCCCTTTTTTCACCATCTTTCCAATCGTTAGGGGATAGATGATCCACAATGGATACGCTGTCAGCCCTGTATGGACGAAGAACTATTCATGTTCCAATCATCATGGTCGTCGGGGAGCTTGCGATAGGTGCGGGATGGAGGGGAAGCTACTACCTAGGATAAAGCTCCACAGTAGTCTATCCCCGCCACAATGAAGTTTTTTTTTTTATTTTTTATCTCGTATTTCATCTGTTTGTCAACTCCACCATTTTGACAGGCAATGAACAATTGTCAAAAATTTGTGACTAAGATTTGACAGCCATTGAACTCGACACTGAATCGAATATACAGAGTGAAGTCAAAGTAGAGTTCTTGCTTCCGTCATCAAATTTTGCTCCCTCAGAAGCCATGGGTCCTCCGAGAAGAAAGGTGCTTGCTACAGCTGAAGAGACGTTGTTCCCGCCTGATGAGCTTGCTCAAGGACAACTAATTGGCCGAGTCATTAAAGCCACTGGGAACAATGTCTACCTGGTGGAATATCCTTCAAAGGCCAGAGCGTTGGTAGAATTGCCTGCCCGGTTCCGATCCACAATCTGGATCAAGCGGGGCTCCTATGTCGTGGTAGACACGAATGCCTTAGAGGATAGAGACAATAAGCTCGGTGGGGAAATTATCAACATCGTCAGGGATGAAAAGGCCTGGCGCAAAGCTCCTTTTTGGTCAGTCTGATGCTACTATGAAGGGCGGGACATCCTGCCGTCTATGCGATATGCTGACAGTCCCCATAGGCCAAAAGAGTTCGTCAAGCAACCAACTGCCGTGGAATCATCTGATGAGGAAGACGAATCGAATGTGGGCAAGATGCCTTCATCAGACGAGTCGGATGCGTGATTTAGCCCTCCGAAGCCTCTTCCAAACGACTCGCCTTCAGCTCAGCCATTGCCTGGCCCCCTGGCAGGGAATGTTTTACTTCTGGATCTACCGATCATCAACAAGGTTCGGGAAAGCAGGGAGACTAGGGATGTTTGCAGCAGCTCCCTTGTAAGAGGGCCGCATGTCAGATTCATTGCAAATGTTCTTTCTGGCTACTCTGATCCAGATGCTTGCGACTGAACGAGTTGCCAAGCACACCGAATACTTGAGCAGCGAGTGAGAGGATCACAACTAGAGAACTCGCGTTTGTACTGGGATACGTGTTCCAAGCCCATTCTTGCGCCACCCACACGACGTACACTAGGATCGGATGGAAGCCCGCCTGCCAAAGAAGGAAGGGTGTCGCGCAAGCAAGATAAGCAAAGAATTGGTAATGCAGCGATCTTGCGCACAGCAGACCAATCGCAAGTGAGGACAACATTGCCGTCGTTATGAAAGACTTGGAAAGGGAGACTGTGCGGTAACGTCGTTGGATTAACCGTTGCAGGAAGCTTGGCAGGTCTGATCCAGAGGGCTTCAGCCATACTGTGGCAACAAACAGACCCAACAGCAAAATGTGTAATGCCAATAGGGCCAGGGAAAACTTCCGCGATAGAAATAGTTCTTCTCCAACAAACCTCCAATTGACCGTCCACTTGAACATGAATTGTCTGGTCAGCTCAAAGGCTCGCGAAACATATCCCGCCGGGTTGTTTTGCAGAAATGGTATCCCAAGTAGGATCTACCCGCCGTGTTAGCCACTTTCTTTCGAGCAAAAGACACTTGCATTACCTGGATGAGCACCGCAAGGAATCCTAGTTGAATACTTGGTCCAAGAGATAAGCTAAGCACCAGCACCACTGCGATAGCAGGAGCCAGAAGCAGCAGCGTCATCTTGATGGCAACGCCTGTAGACCATACAATGACTCCAGCAGTCCACTTCTGGTTCATGAACAAGAGGATAGCAGCCCACATGGCGAAAGCCGCAAATCCATCGTTGAATAGGCGCAGCATGAAAACACTATGGAGCCGCTTGGAGAGCACAAGGGGTACTAGCAGATACGGAGGGGCTCCAGCTTGTCTGTAGCAGGTCATGGCGACAGTCAATGTAGCGAGATATAGAATGGCAAACAGAATCTGCCCGAGGAAGATATCTCGTCCTTCATCCGTAAGGTAGTATAGGATGTTGTAAATGTACACGTGGGCGGCGGGATACACCAGAGGCCCCGTAGACCCTTTGATCAAGGTGTAGTCGCGCTCACCGGAGATATAGAGTGAGATTTGCTGCATGTAGGTCGTCCAATCGATCTCAGTATCTGCATCCAAGCGCTCAATGTTAGCCTCAGGTAGCTAGGTATGGTCCCGACATTCTAGAACACGATGCTGAACTCACATGGGACCTTCCAGATGATTAGTGTGCAAAGGACGGCATCGCCTAGAATAAGCAGAGGAGCAACCCATCTTGCATGTCTAGGGTTCATACAAAGATCGCGCAGAATGTGCTTCAAGTCCATTGTATTGATAGCGATGGTATATGAAGTTGCATTGTTGTTGCAGGTGGCCTTAAGAGTGCGGAGCCAATGATATTCGCCATTTTCCGGCTTAGCTCCGAACAGGATGAGCAGAGTGGGAAAACCATTGAAACCGCCATCAACAGAACCAACCATTGAGCTGGAGAAGAAATACGACAGTAAAGTCCATAAGGTGTCATTCATTCAATTCAGAGGTATATCAACATAAAAGCAGATACAAGTGTTAATATCTACACTATCTGTACATGGGTATAGCAGGCAATTGTGCCCTTTTTTGTGGGACAAGTAACGGCATGAAGACTGCACGATCGGCCGGTATCAATGCGCTTTGCCTATCATGGTGTCACATAGGGTCAACAAGTCCATTGCGGACCAATTTGTAATATTACCCTCCTTGGTTTGGGGCAGTCACCGACTCAGTCCCGAGAGTCCGCTGTTTTTGCTTCCCCTCAGCAGTTGGAAATCCTAACAATTGGCCCAAAACGCCCTTCGGTTTAGGAACAGGGCATTCCCTTCCTGTGTTGGCCAGACGTTCTGCTTCCTCTTCCATTTGTAAGAATGTCGACACCTCCTCGTCTGAGCACTGGGGCCTTGTTTGGTGTATTGACGTCCCATCTTGTTCGAGCATGTTTGGGTCTTTCCTCCTCTTCCTTCGAATTCTCTGTATCTGTTGTCCATCGGCGGTTACAATCATTTCGGAATCGGCTAGCGTACGACGTGGAGCGGGGCATGGGAAGACGTGCGGCATGCCAACGACAAAGAGCGATGCGAGGAGTGTCGCTGCAAAGAGAGACATGGTCGATCGCGACCGCGGATGTAGATGAGGCGGCATTTCGAATGTGATTCAAAAGAAGCGATTGATACCAGAATCGTTGCTATGACATTGACATGGAGAGATGGTGGTGCTAAGAGCTAACATGTAAAGACTCATTAGCAACGAGCGGGGGTTCCCATGCGGGGAGGAACAGCTCACCTTATCGTTGCTCGATTTAAAGCTATTGAATCAACACTTAGAAAGGTAGAGATGTCCCGAGAAAGACATGGCTCTCTCCAACGGGCAGCGTGGCTGAAGCGCGAGACGCCGAAATGCAACACTCGGAGCAGCGGACGAAGAGTGCGAATTGAGTTGGATTCGACCTTTGCTCTTGGCGGCCAGGATCTTATCTTATCAATCTGCGATGTGATTGGCCCAAAGTGCTCAGTCATGGGAAGTTGTCAGCGCGCCACAGGTACAACAGGACTTTGCTGTTGCTGTTGCTGCAGGGCCCCCTTCGTCTGGAGTGCAAACCACTTGCATCCACCCCTGTTTCTTTCGCTCACCGTATGGGTTACGAAGAAAATGACTGTTGATATTTCCTGCATATAGCGCTTCTGTTTTTGTTCTTTGCTCCTGGGTTTCCCAGGCTTGGCTAAGTCGATTTTTCCGTGACCTCCCTCGGTTCTAGGACGACCCACCGATTGGTCACCAGCCACTCCGACTTGATCATCCCTTCCATTCTTTTCCTCCAGTTCGAAATAATATGAGTGATCTAGACAGGTAATACTGAAGAATTTTGCTTGCCATGAATCCTCAAGGCCCTCACTGACTCCGGTTGCTTTCATCAGGGCGATCGCGCAGCTTCGCGCTTGCCGTTTGATCCCCGAGTCCCAAGTCCGCGAACTCTGCTACAAAGCTCGAGAGATCTTGATAGAAGAAGGGAATGTTGTTTCTGTGGATGCTCCTGTCACAATATGCGGAGATATACATGGCCAGTTCCACGATCTGATGGAACTGTTCCGCGTCGGAGGCGATGTTCCCGACACCAACTATCTCTTCATGGGAGACTTCGTCGATCGCGGGTTCTATTCTCTCGAGTCATTTCTTCTTCTCCTCTGTCTCAAAGTTCGCTATCCTGATCGCATCACCTTGATTCGCGGAAATCACGAGTCTCGCCAGATCACCACCGTCTACGGCTTCTACGACGAATGTATTCGCAAATATGGCAGCGCCAATGTGTGGCGGTATTGCTGCGAGGTGTTTGATTACCTGGCGCTGGGCGCACTTGTGCTTGGGGCCAGCTCAGAACTGGAACCGACCGGCTCAACTATGAACGATACCACACAATCCACGATGCCGATTGATGACGCGGAGTTGGAGACGGAAGTACTCAACTCCAGAGGAGAGGTCACAATGAGCACCTATAGACGGCGACAACGATCTTCTTCGGACGCGTCAACTGATTCCAGAAACCTTTCCCCACCTCGGGATATCTCCGCTGTGCCTGGCCAGGCTCCAGCCAGATCCGGCGCACCGGGTACTGGGGCTTCTGGCAACGGAGCTGGTAGCAACACCAGTCGGACCGGTGCTGTGCTCTGTGTGCACGGCGGCCTTTCGCCACTGATAGATACAGTGGATAAGATTCGCCTGATTGACAGAAAACAAGAGGTGCCGCATGAGGGCGCCATGTGCGACTTGCTCTGGTCGGACCCAGACGAAATCGAAGGATGGGGACTGAGTCCGCGTGGTGCAGGCTTTTTGTTCGGTGGAGACATCGTGAAGCAGTTCAACTACAAGAATGATTTGTCCCTGGTCGCTAGAGCTCACCAGCTCGTCATGGAGGGCTACAAGGAGATGTTTGACGGCGGGATCGTCACTGTCTGGTCAGCCCCTAACTACTGCTACCGATGTGGCAACGTAGCCGCAATACTGGAGCTCGGCGAGGATACAAGTAACGGGGGTACGATTGCTAGAAGCAACGGTGATTATGGACGGAGTAATGGGGCCTCTGGCGCAGCCGGCGGCGGTTCAGGGGTCGTCAGTCCCGGTAGAAGGTACAGAGTATTTGAGGCCGCCGCGCAGGACACGAGGGGCATGCCTGCGAAGAAACCTGTTGCTGATTATTTCCTGGTGAGTTTTTCCCTCTTTTCTTTGAGAAACGCTTGAGTTTATTGACAACGTGCAGTGATACCATCCGATGCACTTATCTTCCCTTCTAAGAATTCTTTTTACATTCTTATATAGGCCGGCCCAATCAATGAATACTTCTTTTTTCTTCAGGTCATTGTAACCTTTATGCATTATAAAAATCCCATCGTAGTCTTGCTTATAAACATAGGAATCTATGTGTGTTTTATGTCCAGTAAGCACCTATGGTTGGCCATCAGCGAACCGAGCTTGAAAAAAGCCAATAACACTAGTGATTCGCAAGTTTCCCTATTATCATCTCCAAAGACATTGGAATAGATATCCTTTCTCATTAACGGCGCCAAGACTCAAAATGCCAATCCCATCGCTAGATCATAAACCATATATCCCAGACCATGACATGATACAATTCGTAATACAAGATTCAATATGAACATCATCGCTGGAAATCTCCTGGAAGACCTATATTGTTATACCCAGAGATGCTGGGACCTTGTTCCGACTCGGGGAGATTAGGAGGCACACCAACAGGGTACCTGAAGGCCTGTGGCGTTCCGGACGTGTTGTCAGGTCCTGATGACTGTCCGGGGTTGAGAACATTGCTGTCGTAGCGCATGTTTGAAGCTGGCCCGGTGAAGCTCGGATTCAAACGTTGCTCCCAATTTTCCGCCCCCATGCTTAAGAGTGCATTGGGGTTGCGAGACCACCAGTCATGGCTCTCTTCCACTAAATTCTCTGATTCGTCAAAACCGGTCAATGAAGAGGCCCCCGTAGCTGAAGCGGTGTTCTTGTCTGTGCTGAAGGCGCGCACTTGACCGTTGTACCAAGCGTCGTGCTGTGTTAGTGGGATAGTCTGCATTGGTCGGTAGCTATGAGGAACGGGCCTAAGATAAGTTGGCTCCGGTAGAGGCGCATCTGTTCGTGGAATCTGGGCGGTAAAAGAGCGATGGGCTGCTCGCATTGCGGATAAGGACGTTGGGAATGAGAGTCCTGAACGCGATTGTTGATTGCCTCGGAATGAAGCTGAAGTTGTAAGGTTTTGAGGAGAATCTCCAGGTTGAGTTATTGATGCTCCTCTTGGGGCTGGTGGTATATAAGCCGGAGCCGAAGACGGAAGGTGCGCCGAAACGGTCGGTGGGGATCCGTCGGACGTCGAGGGAGATGCTGCTTGATCCCATGAGCCCCAAGACCCCCATTTCGCGTGCGTTCTCTCAAAGATGCTCGAAGCTTCGGTAGGCAACTCAATCTGCCACTTATTGGCAGATATGTCGAGAATGCGCAGCGTGCGCCGAGCACAGAGCCAGCTCTCGCCCATCTCGTCTAAGTTGCGGAGGCCGTGGATTAGGTCCCTCTGCGCATTCTTTTCAGGTAAATTGAGAAGATGGATAGTGCAAGCAGTATGTGCAATATATACCGCGACATTAACTATTTGTTTGAAGCCATATGTGCGTTTATACATCCGCAGCAGTTTCGATATGGTGGCTGCGGCTTGTGTGCATAATTTGCGAGGAGAGACATGCTGAGGAAGAGGAGAGGTGGTTTTGGTGTATCTCAGGAAGGGGCGGTAAAGGTGTATGAAGAGGAGTTGGTAAAACATGCTATATACGATCATCAGTGGCAGAGTCCCATTGTGGGCTGAGTGCTTGCTTGCTTACTGCATAACAAGAACCTGAGGGAGCTGGCCTTCTCGAGGTTCCAACTCCTTGGGTAAGCCTTTCTTCCAGGCTTCAAGTCTAGTATGTATCTCGCTGAGCTTTTTAAGCTCCGCTTGTTTTGTTGGCGGCTTATCCGTTGGGCTCGGGTGATAGAAGTAAACAAGCAAGTCGCCGCTGATCTCACTCAGCTTGGCAAGCTGTAAAGCCACAGTCCTGATCCGCGAGGGTTGTGTGTTGTCCTGGCTCGGTCCAGAGTCTGTATATGGGGACCAGAGCTCTGCCTCCTCATTAGGCAAGATATCGATCTTCGGCACGCAAACCTGCGAGGTCAATAATTGAGGCTGGCGGCCAAGGTAGTTAGACCAGCACCTGTCTTCGTCAGAAATACATTTGAAGAAGTGTGACTTAAAGGGGTGACAAACTTATCAAAGAGGAAACAGCCCCAAAATGTGATTCGTCGTGCATCTAATTCTTCGTCGGCAAGCTTACGAGTCCCCAGGCTGTTGGAATCCAGGTTCAGACCTAGGTCGAAAGCCATACGGAAGCTCATGCCACTGTAAACCCAACCTTTGCCCTCGCGGCCGCAACCAGCTTCTCTAACTGATAGGAGTGCCAATGCTTGGATGGTGCACAGCTTTGCGTTCTCATGCTCGTCATTCTCAAGAACCAACCTTTTGGCTTCTTTGAAGAAATGATCTCCCGCAGTCGCAGAATTGCTCGGATCCGCCCGAGCACCTTTCCATGAGCTAAAATGACAACCAAGAGCAAGCATCGCATTGACAAGTAATGACGAGCAATATTGGCTTGAAACACCACGGACGTAGTCGCGGTAGAAGAGATCTTTAGGAATAGTGGTGAAGAAGGGATAATGCCAGGTGAAGTACATCGTCATGAGGTGACTTATCAGTTGCTCATCATCAGTGACTCTCGTCCACCGAGTGACAGAGTACTCATGGCTGCGGTCCAACGCCTGGCCCTTCATAGTCGAGTCGAATTCATTGAGCTCTGACCCTGGCGGTAGAAAAATGAGGTTGGACGTGCCTCCAATATACTTACGGGAACCATCCAACATAAGCTCGCCCATCCTTCCTGCCAAAGTAGATACAAATTGATCTTCATGCGTCGAGGACTCGTCTCCGCTGGGGAAGACCTCTCCAGGTGCGGGCCCTTCGTCCCGGCTCATGATCGATTGAGCTACATCTTCCAAACTGTCACAGGAACGTATTTGCCGGACTAAGTCGAAAGCATCTTCTTCATCGTAGTTCAACAGTGCCTGAATTAGAGTGTGTAAAGTCGAATTTTTCGTCCTAAGGGTGTCTGTGTCCTTTTTGTACACACCCTTGCGTCTGTGATCAGAGTTTGGATCGTAAACACCTGGACGACATATTAACAACACTTTCTTTCCCTCTTCACTCCTTTTTAGGGCTCTCCATACAGGGTGTATGATAAACGGATGAGCATGCGGCACAGCTCGGCAGGTTCCCATCGCACTGGTAGAGGAGACATAGTAAGAATATGACAAAGAAACAACACTAAGCGAAACTGCCGGCTTATTACCTTCGACTTCCTCCTCCGACAAGCAATGCAGGCCGTGCTTACGCAGCGTCTCTTGGACGTTGGACCATTGTCAGGATCCACGCTCTTAGCTTTTCCGGCCGATTTTCCTCGAGATCCTCTTGCAGAAGGTTCCGGGCTTAGTGACTGAGCATTCGCCGCAGTATTCCCTTCCATGTTTGGCATGTCCATCCAGGAACGTTCAAAGGAACCGTCGAGTCAAAGCAGACCATGCTTATGTCGGGTGGTGATATTATGTGTCCGCCGCTGAAGGGAGTCCAAATTGCGTGAGCAGAAATCGTCAAGATGACGGGCGTACCAATCGATATGCGCTTAAGATATTGAGCGAACCTGAAATGGTTGGAGAAGCATCAGTACATGCATGTTAAGTCGGGCAGCAGCTTGAAGCGACTCGGAGCCTGAGCTCCATCTGTTTCATTGCGATTGCAGATTTACACACACAATCTTCGTGCACATATTTGTCTGGATATACTCACAGATCGCGGACTGCAGATAGAATTGAATGTACTCCGTAAGCAGCGCGATGATCACACCATGGGGTTTCGACCCGCAGTGGAGGCGGGATCGTGGAGGATGGATCGAGACATCAAAACTGGGATCACTGCGCTGAGAGGGGGAATGATAAGAGCCTTTGAGACTGTGAGGTTGATTGGACAGAAACCAGAGGCGAGATAAAACCACCCTGGAGCGATAACGTCCCAGAGAAGCTCTAGTTCTGGATCGCAGTGAAGCTCACTGCCGCCTCCGCCGCCTCCGCCGCCTCCTCGAAGTGGGCGATAAGAATGGCTGACTAAGGCTCGCCTGGCGCAAGTAGGTCAATGACAACTGGAACATCTGCCAATCTGAGGACGTTGGGCAAGATGTTGACGAATGGGGAACTCAAAGAACATTGTAATCACCTTGTTGAATAACAACACTGATAGCCGGCTCAAATAGAACCTCATGTTGTTTACAGCAGTAAGATCCCTGAAAATGAGGATTTGGCGCTTCGACTGATAGTCGGATTGGCCAATCACAGCGAATGGGTTTCTGAAGCTAACAATCTGCCGAGATCTGAGGTTATAAACCAACGATAATTAATAATGGATGAATGTGCACATCCCAAGCATCACACCAGGGGCGCAATAGCTCTCGGCACGAGCAAAGTCTGTACTATCCGCATCTGACCCTAGAATAAACGATCCAATCTAACTTCCAGTTGCAGATCATCTGTGATACCAAAAGTGCTTTGTATGACAACTAGGGCAGGGAATATTGAGAATTCGGATGTTGGCATAGCATTTTTCAAGGGCACGTAGTACTCTCGAACAAAAAGTCTCCCTCTTCATCTATCACATCATTCTAACAATTCTCTTGCGAATATGAGAATCCTCTTAGGAGTTTGGAGTATCCTGTTGGAAAAGTGCGTTTCATACCTGAGGATCCCTTCCACTACCTCAGTAACTTAAGAGTGGACCATAATATGTTACCATTAATAATGCCTTATTTCCCAGCCACAGAGTATCTACGTATAGCTTTACTAACAAGAAGCTGCTGTGATTCTGATACGTAGAGATTACCCATACTTCTTCTAAGGAGCATTTGATAGTATTTACGCATTGGCACCTACTCACCGCAGTTTGATAAGGCACCAGTTAGGTACCCTTTAGGAACAAGCTACCTCATTTGGACTTTGGAGCTGAAACGGAGTATTACGTCCGGTATCCCGAGTCAGCTTTACTGAGAAGAAACGCGAACACGTCCAGATTTGGGTATTTATGCGGGTACCTTTCCTTGTTAACTAAGGTAGGTCCGGAATTCTGGAACGATGGCATGGCAGATTTGCGATCAATTGAGATGGGATATAGACAGTATGCTTCCGTACTTACATCTTTAATTTCATCGAACTTTCCATAATCATGATCTTCATTCAGAATACTGAGCTCATCACATCCCTTTGGCGGCAAAGGGAGGCTCTTATGTACAAATTCTGCGTGCAAAGCGGACAGGGTATCTGTGGCCGTGAAATCATCCAGCATAGTGTACCGATGGGTACATGCCGAGTCTAGAATCGCTTCATACACCGTAACGACTGAAGGGTGAGGCTTCAGCCGTCCCCCATAAACTGAGATCAGCGATCCCAGACCAATCCGCGTCTGGGTTCGTGAGCATCATGACGGTTCAAAGAAGACCGCGAATGGTTTGGACGGCTTGTTGAGGGACGATCTAGTAGTTCGAGCTAAACACCCAGTCCGACGCCATAACTGTAATGATTGCGATCTGTAGGTAGAGTCAATCATCGTACTATACGTATATGGATAACATGTCTTACAAGAGACAAGTCTACTCCTGGTAGAACGGTCACATCCAGAACAGGTCGATAGCCCTTCTTCGAACTCGGCAGCAAGGCCAATTTCTCATTGTGAGGTATACTTTCGCGAATCTCGGCGACTTTCCTGTCCCCATCCACGACATCGAATGAAGCTAGAGCGTTCCCATACTTTTCAACCTCTAACGTGAGTATTTTTTCCTCCTCCTTTTTCGACTCAACGGCTGCTCTATTCTGGAAAGTAATCTTGAAGTCACCGAGAGACCATCCTGCGCTGGCTGTGGCTATATTTGCATGCTTGCTTCCTGGTAGCGTGACAGACCATGTATTCTTGAGCGAAATCTTCCTATGCAGCTCGAACAGAGGCAGTCCAGAAGCATCCCAGAATTCGCGACAGGCGCGAACACTGAATTTACGACCCGTCGCAGTGAACAAGGTCACCCCATCGCTATCCTCAATCTTATACGCTCTTGAAGACTGCCTGTCACCTTGCGGTCTCACAACCAAAAGTGTCCTTGAATCTGTGACATATTCGGTCCGTACAGCGATAGGACGGCCGGGTGCTTTTAGTACTCTGCGAAAAGAGGTTTGCGAGGACGAAGAGGAGGAAAAGGAAGATGATCTAAACATTGCGACGTGAATTGGAGCTGGTTTGGTGAGCTGCGGGGAAGCGCTCACTTACTTATATTCCGTCATAGCGTCACGGCTGGATTGGTCGGAGTCTACGGATAATCGTCGTTAGCATGGATTCTTCCATGTCCCTTGCACAGCCACCCGATCGAGCCTCAGCTTTGAGACGAGTCAGCTTAGGACTCGTGTAGAAAAATATCTATTTCACTTCATGATCCTTCAGGATGGGGATAACTTGAGGTAGCACACAGGAGTCATTTATACGGTTCTTGCTTATGAGTCGACGAAGGATCAGCAGTTTTATGCATGCATCTTGTTCTAAACGGAGGGGGAATAATGAATCATGTGATCGTCACTATGCCGAAAGTGTCATTGATAACGTAATTCCCAACCGAGTCGCCCACCTCTGTTTTCCATATAGAATAGCACTCTTCAAGGCTTTAATATCTCCACAAGACCCTTATATGCTATAATGTAAGTAGTATATTTAGACTATATATGGCTTAGAGAATATAACTACTCTTTTGAACCGCCCAAAAATACTATCCCTCTGTCTTAATGTCGTTAATATTACTAAAAATACAGATGTAATTTATGTTACGTGCGTATATACGTATACTACGGAGGCTGAAGCTTATAAGTATAACTCTGTATGCCTATAAGTATAACTCTGTATGCTTATACCTAAACCTAGAACCCTAAGTATAGATGCTTGGTTGTGGAGATATTAAAGCCTCGAAGAGTGCCATTCTATATGGAAAACAGAGGTGGGCGACTCGGTTGGGAATTACGTTACTTAGTTGCATTATTCTCGATTACGTCAATGAGTAGTATGCATAATTATTGTCTTTCACATGGCGAGCTCTCTTATCTTTCATATTGATTGGGTTGTATAGGCCGACCTTTCAGCCTTTCAAGGTTGGGCAGGCACCAAGTATGATAATCACCAACACACTGAGTCACCGACACCCTCCCCGTAATCTTATCATCCGACTCGGTATTCTGACTTAGAAGAAAGGACCTTAATAACTGTAAGAGGTGCAGCACACGACAGGTACTCTAACAATACGCATTACACTCAAGTAGGCACCTGCACTGCTGGCAAGGTAAGGTAGTATTGAACTAGTATCATCGTTTTAGATAGAATCTTCTCTGACTTCTGTGGGGTTTCCAAAACAGTCTTAAGGTAAGGCAAGCCGGTATTATCGATCGGTTACCACTTGGCTGGTGAGACATGGAAGTCAGGCGGATGATAAACAAACAAATAGCCATATCTCTGGATTATAACTGGCTGTCGAGAGACAGATTACGATACCGTACCATTGTCATTGTTTAATATGCCCGGATCACCGGCAATGTCCGCTCTTACCGCCCAAAATTCCATTAGTAAGGGAGCCCTCAGTTGTTACCGTACGCAACACTTTTCCTATTTCCATCAGTTTAGTGGGCTCCTGACTGTACAGTCTATTCCTAAAACAAATCCCAGCCCAGGCCTAATAAAGAAAGGCGGCGTATTACGTTGAAATTACGACCCAAGGAAACGCAGCCACCCACTCTTCTTATCTTCACAAAACGTCCCACTGGGCTCAGTAGGCCATACCCAGAGAAGATCACCTTTTCCTCGCCCCCATCTGACGTCTATTAGGGTATTATCATTATTACACTCTTACGGTGCTGGAGTCCTTTTCCATCCGCTTCATTTCCCTCTTTCTCCTTTCATCCCTCTACTTGATCACTGTCTGGTTAGGACACTGTATACACTTTTAGACACTTGCATCTGTCCTACCTGTCAAGTTTACCTGTCGCGTGCCTGCATACGCATACGGCCGCTATCCCGCAATCGGTCTCCAGTTCCGCTTGCCTTAAATCTTTATCGCAAATCATCTGCCAACACACCGACCCTACCGACTCGTATATCATCGAATAATTATACTCCCTGGTGGGAGTCCCTGCAATCCCATCTCGTTTGCCTCCTTGTCTTCCTTCACCATCCATGTATCTCGCTCAGACTCTCGATCAAAGTGCCTCGTCAGGGCTAGATCACCTTATCAACGGACTGTGCCTTGATAATAAACCATAAAGATGATGGTCCCCAGGGCTTTTCTTTTTAGCTCTGTGTCTTCCCCAAAACCATTCAGGCAAGATGAGAAGGATATGCAGCCAACCTCCACCTCTACCTCCACCATGACCTTTTTCACGACGCAGGACGTCGTCCCCGGCCTCGAGTTCCCCAGCGTCGAGTTCCCCAGCGAGGCGACCTCTCTTGCTACGAGCCCAGTAGTGATCCCTCCGAAACGGGGACCTCGTGTTACACCAAGGCTTGAGAACAACACAGCACATGGTTCAAAGACCCTCCGCAATAAGACAATATCTCCCCGGTCATCTTCGCCCGGTTTGCGCGATCGCCATGTACCCACATCCATTGCGTCCATCTTAGAAGCCACCGCGATTCCAGTTCCCAGACGCACCTGGAGCGTGCGAGAGTCACGGAAACTACCGCGCGGAGATCATGTGCAGGAGTTTAGCAGGTTGCTGATGGAAGGGGTCAAATCAAGAGATGATCATTTGCTAGAAGGGACTGGTAACACTGCGCTTGACATTTTGCTTAGCCCGCCAGATGAGAGCGAAAAGTCGGTGGTTGGCAGCGATTACGAGCCTGAGACACCGTCATTTTCTGGACAATCTATGTCTCTCGAATCGATGCCGTCCTTAGATCACGATCTGGATTCTCCATCTAGCCTTCCTGTGCCGCCTACCCCAGCAAGCCAGCGAAGCCCTTCAGAGAGAAGATACCGCCGCCCACCACATCCAGAAGATTGTGCCCTTGACCACCCTCTGCTGGAAAGGGATCTGTCGGAATCAGATTGGAGCCTGACTGATTCGCAGTCCTTGTTTACTGATGCTACTCCTTCCAAATCCTCTGGCTCATCCCGGTCGTTCCCTCGATTAGGCTCCTCCTTCAAATCCAATCTGACAGCATCTTTACGAGCAATCAAGTCCGCTGCTCAAACTGTTTCGACCTTTGCTTCTCCATCGGTACAACCAGAGGATTTTTTGACGCGGTCTCTGTTCAATATTACACCGGAGATGACGGATGACCGACGGCCTCCGCCCATGAACGAGCCGCCATCGCCCGCCCTAAGGCGGTATCTGAACCCGATTCAGGTTTCACCCTCCGAGATGTATGCTTACCAAGACTATCCACATGAAACCCTGGATTCTCGGAACTGCCCAGTGTCGATCCAAATGCAGACATATCACCGTTCAGGGGGCCGTGGAGGTCGCAAGGGCAGGTTTCGTCTCGCCGGCTCCGCAAGCCGAGATCGACAATTACTGCCATTCGATCCAGAGCACCCGGCCTTCTCACGGCCCCGAGAACCGCGGGAGAACAGTGATTTTCTGCGCATGGTGGTTCTCGAAATGAACATGAGACGTAGCGGAAAGCTTCGGGACGACATCCCTACCCGAGCGCGGATCTGGTTACCACCACGGAAAAGCATCCGGCATCGGTTCACAGTCTACGACTTTGATGAGCACGACCACGAAGAAGACACTGAGCACGTAATCCCTCCACGATGGATCGGAATTTCAGCCTGATACATGCGTCTATCTCCTTCTACCTCTGCTTACATAACTGTTGACCCACTACCTTTTTCCTTTTTTTCCCCCAACAGTATCAGTATTTATTCTGGGTTCATCCCAGTTTTGAGTTTCTCACATTTTGCACATATTCAGAGGCCTTCTTGGTGGAGCATAGAGAGCACGGCGCTTGGTTGGACTGGAGGCATCATATACAGTGGTTTGAACAATCACTTGTCATCATTACATGTCGCATATGGGCAGAAGGATCGTTTCCCTTTCTAGCCTGGTACATATAGCGAAGCGAAACGGAATTTTCTTTCTTATTTTATGGAGTATGAAACAGACCTTAGCCCATGATGGGCCCCTCAAGAAACTTGGAATTACAAAACAGAAGCAAACCCAGCAAGGCAGCCGGGTAAGAAAGCGTGAAAAGAAAAACAGCGACATGTGAAAGCAGGATCTGGTATCTCGTTCTTCGTCCACTAATAATCTTGGTAAACGTTGCTTTACAAAGCACAGAATATACTGCACCTTCCTGGTTCAAGTGATTATTAATGTATTAATCGGCATAGGGGTAGCCTGAGCAACATCCATGCAGTCATCTATTATCAAATGTCTGGTTGCCCAGTTGCACGGAGTACTATATGCAAGCCTTATCTCTATCCAATCGTATCAAGCAGTTTACTTGGATGTTCATACGACAATGCAGGGATCGACTATCTACTCCATAATAAAGCAAAAATTAAATACTCTGTAGTTTGTTCAGTGCTAAAATATTGTTTCTTGGTCCCGCGTGGGGAAGCAATGACTATCCCGCCAAAATCAACAAGTAGCATGGGGTATCTTCTTCTTTGGGCACCAGTGCAGCTGCTAGACTACTACTGCGCCTGTGTCTCCTTCATCATTGTAAGCCGTTATATGAGTCATGGACAAAGTCAACTTTCATTGCAGGGCAAAATCTAGGATTCGGTGACCCGGATTCATGTCTCGGTTCATCCTGGCCCCAATGTTTAAGCGATGCCAGATATTCATCGTTTGGGCTGGAATCCTGCGCAACTCAATTAGATGCTAGTCATCAGGAAAGTTACATTGTATGACTTACTCTCCTCATCCAATAGTGTTCGACTCTTCCAGCTCTCTTCTACCCAGTCAACAGTGACTATATGTGGTACCTTATTCCCAGGCTTCCTGGACCACTCCCCTCGTAGCGAAGATATTTCTTTTGACGAGCTCTCTGGATCGACAACGACATGAGTGATCGAGGGATGGCTTGAGGTCTTGGCTATATTCGCGGCTGCAAACCTCGCTACATTGATAGCATAACGCAAGCGGCTATGAGCATCCGACGGAATCATACTTTCGGACTCCGACTCATCCTCATTTCTATGTGGGAAGAGTATCGTAAGACTCTTGAAGAGCAAACCGCATGGTATTTCATGTCCAGAATTGACTCTTTCTTGGATGCGTTCAATGAGTTTCGTGACGGACTCTGGACACTGGGAAATGTCCAAACGATTCTTCTTCGTCATTTGTTTCAGAACCTTAACGACATTAGCAGTGGTTCAATGAAACATTATGCGGAAAGCGTACATCACTGAGCTCCTCGCTCGTAGTGTTACGAGCGTAACTATCGCCGAATTGGTCTACATTGGATGCCAGTTCGTCGTGCCTGCCCGGTGTGGCGAAGAACATGTGCCTAGAGCAAGTTAAGTACAGATCCGTCTAATCCGCGATAGATGTTCGAACATACCTAGGCTCAAAAGGGAGCAGTAAGTCAGGTAGCCCTGCGTCAATCTCATTTTGCCTCACACAATCAAAAATCCAGGACGGCCGGATTATGTCCACATCGCCTCTCTTCTGTAACGAGGCAGCTTTTACCGTTCCTAGCAGAGAGGTCAGCTAAATGAGACCTCATCATTAGGCTGGGAGAGCACTACTTCTGTCCGCTACACAGATTGTATGAGGAGCTGCATTGTTAGTTTGGAAGAACATGCCACCGTTAGCTTTGACAAGCTGCTCTAGCTCAGGCTTTGTTTTCTTGACGGGCGCACTCGAATCTGTCAGAATATCTGCCTTGCATGATTAGTACACCACCAAGGGACAGGCCCGGCTGCCGATGCAAAGCTTACAAAAGTTCAATCCGTCAAATACATGCCCAGATGGACCAGCATACTTGACATCTTCGTCCATGTCGTATCCAGCAACCGTGAGAGGCTTTTTCGTCGTCCTCTTGACGCGTTTCCTACGGGAATTGTCCACGTTCAAGTCCTTTTCCCGGTGCTCCTGCTCAACGTTCGACTTGAGATCTAGGAATTCCTGCACAGACAGAGCACTTTTCCAATCTTTGTCCATGCGCAGCCTTTTGAAACGTGGAAACCGCAAAGTCAGTCCAATCCGAAACTGGTCACTAGCTGACACAGAGGCTGCTTTGACACAGATGACGACCGAGTCTTCCGGCTTGATCCACATGTCCGGTCGCTCATATTGAGCATCTCGACCTGCCAATTCGATATACGCCGTTGGAGGTTTCTTTGGGTTCCACTCCATCCATTTACCATCGGTGTGATGACGGATATTTGCATAATCAGCGGCATTAAAGCCACCTCCAACTTTGCAGAAGGAGTAGCACTTTGACGCGCTCGCACCCTGAGAGGCATGAGCATCGTCAACTCTTAGCCCGCAGAGAAAACTTGAAAGGTTGCCGCCCCGACGACCGGAGCCATAGTACCCACCGATGACGATGAGATCTAGAGACTCTCCGAACTCGGTCATGTACTCAGGCTTCACCTTCATCCAGTCATCGTGTCTCTCGTTCAGACGGTAAGGCGACCGAGGGTTCTTGAGCACCAAACCCTCGGAAGCTTCAGCTACCACATTTCTGAGCGCAGCTTCGACCTCATCTTTAGTTGTAGCTTCTTCGTAGGGATGTATTTCGAATCTGCGATGGACAGGGCGGACAGCCTTCTGCAAAGCATTGCGACGATCACGGAGTGTGTAGCCAGTTAAGTCTCGCCCATTTAGATACAGTATGTCAAAGACACGCAGCAGAGGCCGAGCGCCTGTCGTGGAGAACGGATTCCTCTGTTCAGACAATGCAGCAGTCTTGAGTGTGCCGAAAGGTGCGGGAGCGTCTTGCTCGGGGTCCCATGTGATCATTTCACCATCCAAAATCAGGCTCTGGACCCCATCTGCAAAAGCATCCTTGAGATGCCTCGTCAAAGACCCATTTTCATCATGAATACCATTGCCGTATAAATATGTATATTCCTTCGCTTTCCTTGACCAGAAACGGAATCGTCTGCCGCCAGGTACTGAATCGTCAGAATCCATATGAAGCTGCATGCGCTCGCCGTCCAGCTTCTCCTCTATCCAGAAGACAGGATCCTCCTCCACCGGTCTCATTCGAGCGACCATGCGGTCCAACGAATGCATTTGGAACTGAGCCAGCTGCGGCTGGAAGCATTGCATCAGGCTGATTCCTCTGTCCTCAGCGTCCAGCCGAATATTCGGATCGTGCAGCTCCCAGCAGACGCGCCGCAGACTGCTCGAGATACTGTACAGATTCTCCGCGTCCGGATGCCAGACATCAAAGAAGGTCCGCTCCGTCGCTCCCACCTTCATCTGCCGGAGGATAATACGAATCAACCACATGAGTTCCTCGGGATTCATGCGCCGGTAAAACTCCGCAAGGATCGGCAGCTGCTGCTCCTCCTTGGAAGCCGCCGATAACTTGTCCAGTTTCTCGTTAACCTCCTCGATCAGCATGTCTCCCACATCAGTCCGCATTGGTCGCTTGGAGATGACATCGAAACATCGCCCCGCAAAGTCGCCCGCCATCCTGGACGTAGCTGCTTGCCCAGGCAGCTTCCAGTTCAGCAGGTTGAAGCCATCCTCGGAGTTCTTGTCGATTTTCATAATCTTGACAAGCATTTTGCCAATAGCCTTCTCCTTGATTCCGTACATGGCCCGGTCCCGATCCTTGTCCGGAAGAATCAGTCGAAAGGCGGGGTATATATCGTCGCCCACTTCTTTTCTCCATCGCGAGATAAACCGCTCGATCACATCGCGTCGTCGCTCGAGCGGGTTGAGATTCGCCGCCGATTGCCCATGGGGACCGACTTTCCTGCGAGCCGCAACCGCTCCGGCTGGCTTCTTTTTGATTTCGCTCAGAGGGTTGAAGAGGGTCTGGAATAGCTCATGAAAAGGTAGCGTTGGGGAATGGTTACGCGGGCGATTGGGATATCTATAGCGACGAGTAGCATAATGTCAATGACTTTGTCTCTCAACACTGAGTAGGTTTTATAGATGGAAGCAGGGTGCGGGTAGCCTCACTTTTCGTCAATGTCAGACTCCTCATCTCCAATAGGAACATTTGGATGCTCCTCATCAGGAATGATCTCGTCAGAATCCATTATGTATCAAAATCCATCCGCAAGTCAGGAATAAAGTATATTTGAAGTAGACCTCAGTCCATACATATTGTCAACTAATATATGGCGAGCCAAGAAGTGTGTTGATTCATTCACGAAGATTAGGCTACAACGGGGCCCGATAAGATAGCGAGCGATACATGTGTGTGACATTACATCACCTGCGTTTACTCTCCAGAATAGTGGCATAATTCAGATACTATTGTATTCGGACAAAACCTATAGTCATCACACATTATATACATTATTGACCCTGTATAAAATACGGCCAACTCCCCAATCGTCCGTCAGTTCGAAAAGCTAGGTTCGTCGTGTATGTCATAATATCAGTTTCTAGGAGCCTGTGGCTGCGAGGACAGCTCCGCGAGCTTCGTAAGGATGGCAATAAACCTCTTGCTGATTCCCCATGAAGTAAGCCCGGCAAGTGTCTCGCAGCCAACCTTCAAAATGCGCTCAGGACCATGAGGAGCACATATGTCCCCGACGCCTGTCACGTTTCCTTGCATAACATGACCCTCGCGGACAAAGAGCTGGACTAGCTCGTCATCACACGGCCGGTCTAGGTGGATAAACGTTGGTTCGCGGACTGGATGATGCCGTGGTCCATATCTTGAGTTGGGATCTTCGGATATTTGGACATGACATGAGCCGTACGCCCATAAAGTGAGTATTGAAAGATATACAGCGACCGGCTCGTGGAATGCATTCGTCGAATACCGTCTTACGTGCCACAAGATTGTGCCTGCATGTATAATCGCAAGACGAGCCTTGTACTGGTCGTGTTTGATCCAGCGTAATATGTAATGCCACTCAAGGGCTTGTTGATGATCGCTCCAGCGAATCTTGCCCATTGCTAACGAGGTCGCCAGAGAACGAATTTCGCGGTATGGCGCGAGGAGGACAATTCGGGCAGCATGAAGGTGTAGCACGGTAGGATGCTCAAGCCCCGCTGCTTTAGCAATCGTGCTGTTCGCCGTCCAATGCAAAATATCCAAGCAATCACACGCGCTGTTGCGCCATTTCGAGTACGAAGGGATACCTGGCAGCCAGACAGACCCTGACGGGATAGCGGTATCAAGGGACTGCTTCTTTGCGGTGGGATTCCAGAAGGATAAGGGACGGCGAAAATAGTCACCGACCTCCCACATGCGATGGTAGAGAGCGTGAATGAGTAGGACGTGGCTGAATTCTCCGATCTCTGGGACGAGCTTCTTCTCGATATAGATTGTGAGCACTGCGTTGTAAAGAGAGATATCTCGCAACCCTGAAACCGATGTCTTAGTTGAGAATTTCCGCTTGCTTTGTCCAAACTTACCGGAAGTTCTCTCGAGAACATCCCGCCAGGCTTCGGCCGAGTGAGCTTTCCAGAGATTCTCATGAGACGGTAATGGGCACTGCCCGTCGTCCAACGACAGCAAAGGCCGGTTATCAAAGTAATAAGCGAGGGAACAATCAAGGAGCTAGCGCTTGAATGTCAGATCGAGATATGACGGAGCATAGTCCATGTTAAGACTTTCAAAGGAGCATACCCATATCAGATACCCGGTCCGTCGTCGTATTTCATCTTCAACCCAGTCATGCCACTTTTGTTCTAGCGGAAGATCACCATACTGAGCTGTTGACTTATTTGCGGCGCAGAGTAATCCCTCTCGAACGGTGAAATTGACAAGATCGCCGAAGGCATTGAGTGTGGACACTTTGCTTTGCTCATTACCGCTACTGTGTAGCAATCCGATGCAGCTGAGCGTCATAGCCTGAATCAGCCACAGCGGTGTTTGTTCTGAACGACATTTCTCTTTCTGGACCGCCATACTCGGTCAGCGATGAATAGCCCGCAAGCGAAAATCGAGTGTCTTACCTCAATATTGATAGCCCGCCGAAGGAATTCATCAAACGCCGTAGTGCATTCATCCAGAGGGGTGAGACCAGAGAAACGACAGCCGACTGCTGATATAGCCAGCGTCACGAGCCAATGACAGCTGTTTGGGTTGAATGTAGGGGGATGGAACAAGGGATACACGGGCTGAAATGAGTCGAAGTAAAGGTATACAAAGCTTGAAAGAGCATCCGCGCTCGGAAAGTTACCAGTTTCGAATTTGGGATAGAGAGGGTTGTCCGTGCGGCATAACTGAAGGAACGAGTGGTAGATTTTATCATATGTCGGAGCTTCGATCCGACGATTAAAGGCCGCTTCCTCACCCGGAAGGAAGTCTGGCCTGATCTCCTGAATCAGTGGGAACGAGAATTGACATAGCGTATCATGCTGATGCATCGGTGCCAGGATCTCAATAGGTTCTGCAGATGACCTTGACCACGAAGTCCTGTTCCGTCTATACTTTGGCAGTCGAGCTCCAGCGCCGTCCACGTAGAAATCTCCCGACCGCTTGGTTGCATTTGAGGGCTCCGAATGTAATGAACCTTCCCCAATACTGCGAGAAAATCGGTCGGGACTCCCCGCATCTGTGCCCACAGACATGTGCCCAGAAGGGGTGTGCGAGTGGTTTTCCCGCACAGAGGGACTCATTTGCCGCAAGTTTGTGACAGGAGGTAGCCATGCTGTTCGGCTCACCGGCTCGTCCAGGATACCCAGCTGCTCAGAGAGCGGAGGCATCCTCGCGAGAGACTGATCGCTCGTTGTATCGGGGAACATATCATTAGGCAGCCAGTTCAAGGTAGAAAGCATTGATTGGTCTAAAAAAGGCGGGTCAAACCCGAGCTGAATTTGCTGGCCTCCGACTCCCGCCAATTCCAGATTGAGATTGGATGTGGCTGTAACTGGTTGCTGGATGTCTCTGGACCGATGGTCAAGTTGCGAGGCCGATTCCTGTGGAAAAGTCTGAACGCCACCTGCTGGCAATTGTGAATACAACTGCTGCGAGCTCAACCCAGCATATTCAGGCAACGATACACGTGCGTTGTGCGTAGGACCACCCGCATCCGACAAGAGCATTCGAGAGTTCAAAACAGCCGTCTCGTCTTCCGGTGGACCATTCTGATGCTCTAACGATTCTCCACGGGGAGGCCCGTGCGGTTTCTCTACAGGCATATCCTTCGATGATGCATCCAGACGATGGGAGCCGGGGAGATCCAGTTGAAATTCGGTAATCTGAAACCTCGGAGGCTCATTTCTTGATTGCTCTCTGATATCCGCTCCGTGGACATCAGCACCTGCTGTTGAAGAAGGGGACTCATGCTGAGTAGCCTGCCCATAAATCGTGCTGTTTCCATCAGAAGACAGGTTCTGGGCCGATTCCTTCCGCGTTTTGGCTTTGGAGCGTCGTTCCGTCGGATACTGGCATTCCAGAGACCTATTCTCACAGCGTACGCATGGGGAACCACCACTGCACCTTACTCTGGCTACTGCGCATTTGTAACAGGCTCTGAAGGTCTTGACCGTAATGCGATGCATACGATCCTTTCCCCCTTCGGGTCCCAAGGTATGATGACTTAGTTCATGGCGATGGAGCGTGTCACTTGCGACAGCAGTCAGTTTTAGAATACCATTATTATTCGACCTGGTGAACACTCTGATACCAAGGCCGCAACTGCCACAGGGATGCCACGAGAAGGGAAGTGGGAAAAGGGGAAAAGGGGGAAAAAAGGAGAGAGAAGGCTATGACATACGTTCTTGAGAAATGACGTCCACACTGCGCACATTCGAAAGGTTTCTCCTTAGTGTGGCTTCGGAAGTGACGCTTCAGATGCTCGGGTCTTCGAAAAGTACTATGGCAAATCGAGCACTTGGTCTGACCAGGGGCGGAGCCAAGCCGAACTTCGCGAGCACGATTGATGCTCGTTTCGTCTGTTCCTGATCCGGCCTCATGGCGGTTCGCAAGTTCTACCATATCACGGGTTAATCCTTGACCGGTTTACCATCTATTTGGCGTCTCTGCCGCAGAAATAACAAAGAACAAGTGCGTACCTTGGCCAGCGTCGCTCTTTTCTGGGGTCATTGCGCCTCATGGACGATTTATTGAGTTGAGAATTAGTAGGATTTGGCATTGCAGCTGCGCGCATGGAGATCACAGGGGTCCTTGAAGAAAAGGAATAAGCTTCATGGAAGTTCTGAGAGCGACAACATTTTCATCAACATTGTAAGTGGTGAGCAAGAGCTCTTTGGATTTAAAAGCTGTTATTGATGGTGGTGGAGCAAAAAGGTAAATTGCGGAGGCCGACGGCCCTCAGATTGAGGAGGCGGGAGTAGCTTAGCTTCGAAAGGCGAAAGGATCGTAGCAGCTGAGTGAAGCGAAAAGCTAGAGAGCGGGGAAGATCTCAGGAGAAACTCAAGACTAGAGTCATTAGACTAGGACACGAGAGAAGAGAAATGAGAACCGTGATTCCTTCCATCGTCCCATACGAACGAACCCCAGGTCCAATTCCCCGCACTTTCAGTTAGTCTCTCCGTCTCTCGGTTAATTAAACGGATGAATACTGGGAAGGCTAAAAGAAACCGATCTTAAAATCCAAGCTTTATAAAAAGGGCCATTTCACGTTGACGGCCATTGGAATCAGAGGAAGTACTGAAAACGTTAATTTACCTAGGTATAGGCCAAAGGTTAAATAACCATGCGTGTTACAACAAGAGTGCTGTGTATGGGGAGAGCATCATCGGCATGCGTTATGGAGAAGGTTCTCCGGAACAATTATCGGGTACGGGCTGTCGAGTGGATATTCTGTTACTATTTTACGCGATGCTGTGAACCAACATCCTTTCTGGAAGCATTCTATATTAGAACTTGGAATGATATCATTAGTCAACACATGTCACAATCACTAGGAAAAATTAGCAGAGGTAGACTGCTGTTGTAGATAGAGATCTCTTGACTTGCTGTCTACGATGCTTGGCTAAATACCACCAACCATTTTTATGCCGAGGCTGAAGCAAAGGTCAAACTGAAGTACTCCCCACATAGCATGGCCATATTCAAGTACTTCGCTTCTTCAATTCCCAGAAGCAGTAACCTTCTACTTCATGGCTGGAGTGGCATTTCGAAAAGTCAGTCCGTTTGACATTGGGTGTGTTCTGCCATGCGTGGCGGAACCTGACGCACGGGCTCTGAAGAACTCTTAGGTCCGCAGTCCGCACTCGGCTTCCCCGATCAACAAACGTAAATATATCTCCATCTGACGCCATGATGTATTGATCTGGCCCTACAAGTTGTTCAGTTCGAGGTGGACATAATAGGAGTATCTTTTCAAAGCCTAGTCAATGGAAAACAGGAACTTTTTGGGCCATTATCCCTAGAGCAGAAAAGGCGAAGCAGGTCTTGTGCATGGAGAGTGCGGCTACCCATTCGCGCCGTGGTCATGTCAGCGGAACTGTAACAGCTCTACAAGAAGCTACTGCTGCTTTCGATGCAAGCTCTACCCAGGTTGCTTCGCAGAGAATGGACAACAAATCCAGGGGAACCGCCGATACAAAACATCATGCTACCGATACGGATCGTCCACCAGATAACGGATCCGCAGGACTCCCCGAGCCTGGGTCCGTCAAAAGCAAAATCGGGCTGTTTACCGCACAGAGTACGCAAAATGCATCGGACGGGGAGCGTGATAAATTTGCGACTTTCAGGCCGCGGCAACCCCAGCAGGCTGCTGCACAACTCGCTATGCAGAAACCGCCGGTGCCAGTGAACAAACCTGTAACGTTGGCAAGAATGAATTCAACGCCAGAACTGAGGCAAATAGAGTCTCAGGGAAGCGGCCATAGAGCAGGGCCTGATCTTCCAATGTCGAAGCCTGTTCGCAACATGACGGCAGGCGCCGACACAGTTGAACAACGCCTTCAAGGCAACAGGGAACTACCGGTCAGAAACCCACCAATTCCCCATCGAAACCCCGCAATGCAGCCAGCTACTTCACCCAGACCCCCAGATATCGCTTCAGTGCCTGCTACAAAACCCCGTCCTACTCCACCTCTGCCTCGGAAAGGAGGTGCAAAACCGGTCCCGAAAAGCCCTAGTCCCAATGAACGGAAGATTCATGGAGGACAACGGAGCTACGAACCGATTTCAAATTCCGACGTGGATCTTACCGGTGATGATGAGGCCAGACCTAAGCTCCCCCCGCGGCCAGACGCTTCGCCTGTGACACAAATTCCCCCAAGTGATCATCGCGTTCTGCTGGAAGCGCACGAACATAGCAAGCGTCCTTTGACTCCTAGCTCTCCATTGTTGGACAGGTCTTTACAAAACAACGGTAGAAGCCCTGGCCTCATCGACCAACCCCCTGGTCTAGACGAGGAAGCAATGTCGGACGCGATAGTTGCATCATCACTGGCCTCAAGAAAAGCGCCATCCGCAAAAAGAGTCCCTCCACCACCTCCACCACAACGGCAACTCAGGACCCATTCGCTCCGGCACCCACACACATCCAACAGCGACTCTCCACACAGCTCCAGTCCCGCGCCAAGCCCGCTGCACACTCTCCGACCGCCGACTAAGGTTGGTAAAGAGGAAATCGACCATCACAAGCACAGAAATCACATTATACACAGACACCCACACAAACATCACGAGGGCGATCGAAAACGATGGCAAAGCGAGGTAACCGAGAAGGAGAGGAAGAGGTACGAGGGCGTTTGGGCTGCAAACAAGGGACTGCTGATACCTATCAGCGAAACAAAAGAACGATCTTCACATGAGGAAACCTCCAGCGAAGGTTATCCTCCAAGTGCTTCCGAGATGGTCCTGAACATTGTTGCTCGCGACATATGGTCCCGAAGCCGCTTGCCATCAAGCATTCTAGAGCAGATCTGGAATCTTGTTGATCGGCAGAAGATTGGACTATTGACGAGAGAAGAGTTCGTCGTCGGCATGTGGTTGATAGACCAACAGCTCAAGGGCCACAAGCTTCCAGTGAAGGTGCCGGACAGTGTCTGGGACAGCGTGAGAGGCGTACCGGGCATCAGAATACCCAAGGTCCCTTCCCGATAACGCAGGAGATCCATACACCCACACATCGGCGCCAAAGACGGCAATGCTAGAGACGATGGTCAAGGCTGCTTGGCTCTCCACTAGCTTCATGTATATGCTCAAGCAGCTCCGGAGACTCGGGTACCGGCTCTAGCATAAAATCAAGTATTTGGAATATGCCATCCTTGCATCCACACCGGGATCCACTTAAAGCGGACTATCTACAGCACCATGCAGAAATCATGAAGGCGTGATGTTGTGACCAAGGCTATTAGTTTTTACGTGATTACTGTCTTGTCACATAGTCATACCTTAGGACATTAAAAACATGTATATACCGGGGGTTCCTACACTTGTAACAGCTACAATTCTCAGTTTCCGCTTTCAGCCCAAGAGTGCAGATCTGCGTCGCCCTCATTGAGATCTTTTCTATGAATAATCTGTCGCGTTGCAAGGTTCGTTAAAAGGCTTGAAGCCTGGGGGTAAAGGCGCCTGTCACGTGACCAATACACTGCTGATGCTCCAATCAGAAAGTCGGCGATTGTTCTCAACGCCCTTTACTCCATCATAGTTCTTACGCAACTTCTTGTTTATCACAACCATCTCTGGAGAATAGGGAACTTGATGAGTCTCTTCCTTATCCAGGGCACCCTATCATCTTTTATCTCACGAGTTAATGTAAGGTAAATCCTGCGCCACATTTCCCTTTCCGGGACCAAAGCAAATCCCGAACCGTGGGAGTTCGGGATTTGGATTGTTGGCTACGGATGATTAAGCCACAGCGCGACGCCCCAGCTTTTGGCAGTAACTATATCAGACCACATCTCTGGGATCCCGATTACCAGCACCAGAGGGAGAAAAGTTCCGTGATCGTACGGCCCCTGTGCCCAGTAGTTATGCGCGAAGGTGACCCTTTCGAGGCGGTGGGTGTGATATAGACCGCTTTCATCAAGCCCGCACGAGACTACGACCAAACCCCGTTGAATGAAAGAGACTCGAAACACGAAATTGAAGTGATTTGATTGATCGGGATTTCGAGATGGTGCTGGAGAACCTCCCACGCCCTGTTAATACCGGAATCGCCCCAGTTACACAATCCAAGACTTCGCGGCCCACAGTGGTTCGGAAGAAGTTTGCCAAACCGCCAGTCAAAGTAGCTTGTCTGACATGGTAAGCCGTCTTCATCCTTCATTTTTACTGATCCATGTGACCCTCGTCGGTAATTTCTTCGACTACTTGAATTTCTCTACCTCTTGTCTCTTCGTCGCTGGTTGTTGCCTTTGATGCTGACTCTGATGCGACAGTCGTGCATCGAGGACGCGCTGCGATGGTCAAGAACCATGCTCCAACGTATGTTTACTTACTCTATACTGACTCTCCTATGTTTGTCTCTACATATGCTGAGACAAGGTCTTTCACTTGAAAGTGTCTTAACAAGAAGAAGAAATGCTCGTACCTGCCTAGTAGGAGAGGCGGTCCAAGGAAGAAGAAAAAGAGCTCATCTCCTTCGGATCCGAGAACCCGGCAGGATGATTTCCAAAACTCTACCATCACGCCAGCATCTGACTTTGACGACTGTACGTGAGGCGACCCTTGTCTGTAATTGCAGCACTAACCTTCAGGCAGCCTCGGCGATGTTTGGGCAGATTGATGTACTCTCCTTGCCAGGAGCTGGGCTGAGAGCGTTAGATTACTCATCGGATATGAATACCATGTTTGCTGATCTCTTCCCTTCGAACAATGGCAGCAACACCCAGGGTCAGATGGAGCCGACACGTTCGCCATCAAACATACCATCCCAGCCTATGGTCAGGACATATGGCAGCGAACAGGATATGTAAGGCTTCACTTATGACTAGTGGCAGCCAGAAGGCTTGCTGAACGCTGATTCGAATATAGATTGAATGCATACTACGACTTCATTCACCATTATTTTCCCATACTTCCACCACGAGTCGCTCCGCGCTATCCAGATAGGCCAATCAATTCCGCTGGTCACTATTCGTCGTCTCCTTCTGGAGAGCCTTTACTGGCATACAAACCACAATCCCCCTCAGTCTTGCAATTTCCGCTATATTGGCCCTGGTGCCCCATCCCGACGATCCTGAGCCGTTGTCTCCGGTTGCTGTGATACGACGTAGAACTTATGCTCATACCTTTGCGCAACTAGCTAATGCTGGCGTTGAGGAAGATTGCGAATTACAAGCTTCTTCGACGGATCCGTCCCAAGCACTAGCGAACAATCGACCCAGGATCAACCGGGAGCCCTTGCATCCACGGACACCTGTGGAACTCGAAAGCCTTCTTGCGTTGCTGATCCTCTGCGTATATGAATATACGCAGCGAGGAAATCTGCTCAAAATGAGGTATCGGGCTGGCCAAGCCTTGGCAATCGCGCTGGACATGTCACTTCAGTCGCTCGGGGAGGAGCATGATGAGTGTGCAGAGGCTCGGCGGAGGGCCTGGTGGATGACGGTACGGTCGTTGATTAGGTATCATCGCGGCGCGTCCACTAATTATCTGCTGTCTAGTACTATTGCGTGCTTCAGGGTTCGATCGTCAGTACAACGGTAAGTTAACGTTGATTTCAACCCGGTTCGCGAGACTCTTTGAGTTTTAAAAGTAGCTGATCTTGGATCTACAGCCGCTCTCCATAATCGCCAGCGACCCTCAATTCGTTACACCTTATCCTCGTTTCTCTGCAGATCCAGAGGCAAGTCTTCCCACTCCGCCTGCGGCGCTTCCAGGATGATCTCCAAGCAAACCACACCACAAGCAAACAGCACCGTTCTGACGGGTTTTCCAGGGATGGGCTGTTTTGATGCAAGCCCAGCAAGTTCTGGCCTCCGCAACTCAATTCGTCATCGACTTGAACAAATGCATGTCAACTGGCGCCAACATGACCTACATATATGAAAGAATGCAGCAACTCGACGCCTGGGCTAGCTCCGCAATAGCACAATCAAATCTCCTTCCAATGGTCCCTCAATCTATGGGCTGCGGAGACGAAGTGGAGTATACAACCGCCCATAGCATACGCGCTATCGCGCGAATCAAGCTTTCTAGGTAAGCGGTCTTTGATGAAGCTCGAGAGATTATTCACAAAGATACTGATGCGAAAATAGTGCACAAATTAAGGTACACCGATTCAGGGCGTTCTCGGATATTCCACTCTTCATCAAGAAGCATTGCGACCTGACCGCAGCTAATCCCAACAACATGATAACGGGCGATTCGGCGTCCAAGGTGTCCAAGGAACAGGACGGTATGGCGAACATCTCGTGTTGCTCCAGCAATCTGGACTCCTTCCGGCCGCCGCCATCTACATCGAGCGATTGCACAGGTTCCGCCTCTTCCTCCGGCTCTGCCACATCCGATTATCACTCCATGGTACCATTCTCATTTACCAGCGGCTTCCCATACAGTAGCCAGCACTCCGCCAAAGTCTGCTTGAAAGCGTCACTTACGATCTCACGCATGTTCCCGAGCCTGCCCCTACCACAGCCGCTCTACGCGTCGGGTGGCAGTAACACGCCCAACCAGGGACCGCCCTCATCGCCGCAAAAGCAGCTACCGCGAACAATGCCATCGTTCGCATGCTGTCTGATGCAAGGAAGCTATGCCTTGTTGATGATATTCTACAAAGCGACAGTTGAGAAACAAATGTCGCCAGATTACGGGAATGAATCCACAAACAGTGCCTCGGATCGACTGATCGAGGAGATCCGTCAAGGCTTGGAGCGTGTCATTGAAACCGTTAAAAATTATGCAATTGCTTTTGAGGCGTTGGATGGCATGAGAGGTAGGCAGCTGATTCAACGATGTTCCGAAGACAAAATCTGACTAACGCTCGGGTCACAGACGAGATCGAAGGTGCATACCACACGGCGTTTCCTCCAGTATCTCAGTAGCTGCTGTTATCTCTCTGAGCGGCTTCATTTCTTTTCTCTTTATTTCCCCTTTGGCTCAGATCACGATACGATAGTCATTCAGTATCCATTTAGAAGCAGCCCTGGTGGTCTGAGAAGTGGACATTGTTGTCTGCTCTCCCTTCAACTCATTTTGGTCAAAGTATACGTGCTGGCCTCGTTCCTCCCTACCATTCACAATGAGATACCATAACCTTCCAACATCTCTCGTCTTCTAATAAGTGATATTCTTCTAATCCGCGTACTTGGTATATACACAGTTCTTTTCACTCAACATGACCATGTCTAGGTATCTATGTGAAGAACTGGATTAGACCGCAACACAGAAACCAATCATCTCTACTTCTAGACGCAAAACACACTCAAAGAGCAACAGTAGGACAATAAGCAAATCCACATACGGGCGAAGCACCAGCAGGCGCCCGCTTAGAGTTTGGACCTGATCCCCTCGAGTCTGAATTTGACATCCTTTAGAACTTTGCTCGAGGGCTTCCAATCATCGTATTGCCTTAATAATTGCATTGTCTCTTCATAGAGTTCGCGGCGAACATACTCTTCTTCGAGTATACCCCGCATGGCAAACGGTAGAATATAGGGGTTCGAAGGAGACGGGAGACTCCGTCTGACGTCTAAGGCAGCGTTACTGACATTCGACGTTTCCAGAGCAAATTCAATCGCCAGACTAAGGGATGAACGTTAGCCTTATGAGGGTCAGCATCAAGGACAAGCCAGCGCACCGATAGACAGCCTCGTCGTCATAGAGACGAGAATGACCTTCTCCTGTGTAAAGGCTCCCTGCCAGCGGAGAGCTCAATTCTCGGATGAGGCCATGGTCCGAGATCCCTAGGTTACGAAGTTTGAGCACGAAACCGACCAGATGGGAAAGACTATCAGAATAACAAGACGTTAGCAAGGTGGGAAAGATCAAGCTGCGGAGTAAATTAACGTACAAGCTTGGTGCATGGACTTTACCGTCCACGAAAACGGCGCGGTAGATGTAGGGATGGACCACTGGTGAGAAGAGAGACGACTACGACCACAGTTAGACTGCGACTGCGAAGTAATCCAGTAATAAGCGAACAGAGCCTTACCTCTAGAGATACCAGCTGGTCATCGATACTCCCAATGTAGGATATTCGAACGCCAAAGTCCAGAGAGCATTTCAATGCAGCTTCATAATCTTTCGAGACTTGGCTATAGGGCAGAGCAAATTCAAAAAGCTCACCCGCCGAACCACTGATCCATCGAGATCTATAATCCGAGAATGGCCCCATATTGACGCCGGCCATAGCGCACACGCCAACACGAGTGGCATTCAAGCAGCCAAAAGCAATGAGTTTCGCAACTAACATGATCGCAACCGGAACACCTTGACTGTGACATGCAACTAGGATAAACTCGGCTTTCCTGATTTTCTCCACCCAATTGAGGAGCAGCTTCCATAGCAAGTCGACGCGCTCAGCGATGCGGCCCTCACCTTCTAGTGCTATCTTCTCGACATCGCATGCATAGCCATGACTCTCTGTCCACTTGTGGATGGCCTCCGCCGCCATGGCGGCAAATCTCACGGAGGTACCTGTTGGTTGTCCAAGCACTGTCCGTATTAGTGGGGCGGGAAAATACCCATGCACACCAATGGCCAATGCATTCTTGATGCTTGGGGGATCTCTGATCATATAGACATGCTTGTTATCAGGCTCTCTGCGATAGTGCAAGAACCGTCCAATTGTTTGCACGAGAGAGGGTGTTTCTTTCACAGAAAAAGTATCCGAAAAGCGAGGTAGGACTTGATTCGGTAGTACTTTCTGCAATTGCTTCGTTGCTGCTGCCTCTGACACTCGTGGTGGGGGTGATTCAGGAGGAAGGTCCTGCACATGAGAGGGGATTCTGTCAGTGGCAGCAGCACTGCTCCTAGGAGTCTTGATTTTGATGTTGCCTTTCTTGGTGTCTTCCGCTTTCTGTTCCAGTCCTGTTTCTTCCTGTAGAATGTCCTGACGCTGGTTTGAAGATGATCCTTGCGCGGTTGAAGCCTCAACTGACGGAGGATCTGCTAGTGCCACTTGATTCGGATCGTGCGACGAATCTCTGAACCAGAACGACCATCCCGACTTAGTGTTCTTGGCCAGTGTGTCAACTGGACCGTCCGTTCTCTGAGATTCCGCAGGCGGCTGGTTTGAAGACGAAATTGCATGCTTTGGATCATGGACGGGCGCATTTACAGCAGGAGAAGGTCCGAGGGATTCGGATTGGGAGTTATCCTTGTGTTCTTCGGGCTTGAGCGTATCCGCCCCCTGTGGCGGCGCAGACGAACCATACAACATTTGAAACCAGGATCGCTTCTGTGATGACGTAGGAGCTTCTGTGGCCGGTGCAGAGGGTGTCTCTGCACTTCTCACAGGGTCGTTGGAGGGAGTTTCACAATTCTTCGGCGTTTGGTCTTCAGCAGACGGCTCTGTCGGGGTGCTTTCGGTCCCAGGCGCTCGTTCTGACTGAGCACCAGTGGAAGATTCTTCAGCCGAGTCTGCCGTATAGAACCATGAGAACCAGCCACTAGCTGGCTTCGAGGATGATTGAGCCAGACCCGGTTCCACCGCTCCAGCACCTGATCCTGATGGGGAAGTGTCGGTTGTCTGTTTTAGTTGCTCTCCGTTCTTATCGTCTGTAGCCCCTGCAGCCTCCTCGCTTGATCCTTCCTTCTGGGCAAAATTCGGGGCTGGACCGGCAGTATCGAACTGGGAATCCAATGTTGGAGTGGATGCGGAACCATCGGAAGCGATGTTGATCTTTGTTGTCGTAGCGTCGGCAGGAAGAGATCTGGTCGATGCGCCTTTTTTCTTGGTAAGCTGAAGTGAAGGATTTCTATGTTGCTTTGGGGTGTGAAGGAGGGATTCCGAGGAGGTAGTCATGCTCGATGCTACATTTTGAGCAACCGAAATGCTCTCGCGGGCAACCTCGGTAACAGGCGCCGCTTTAGATGCTTTAGACACCGCGGGCCAAAGTGCAGGGTACCAGTTCTAAGAACGAATAACATCAGCTTTACTGGACTCAAATATCCCAACTGTCTATTGAATGGCAAGAAGATTGACTCACACCACTTCCTTGCTTCTGCGAGGTTGAGCGCTTTGCCCCCACTGGAGATGAGGTTACCTCGCTGCTCAATGAGGCAGATGATTGCGACTGCGGGCCGGACGGGCTGGGCTTTATTCTCTTACGAGATCCCGTTGGCGCCATGGAAGAAGATAGTAGAACATTACCAAGGCAAATATCAAAGTGCAAGTCAATAAAGAGATGAAATCATTTAAAATGATGATGAAGACGAGTCTTACAGGAGTGCCTGCTAGCGATCCGCGTCCAACAGAGCCGCCACTGTCGGCCTGTTGCACCACAACCAAGCTATCAGGCAGAGACACACACTGATATCATGTCACATGTTATCTGCGATCATTTCCACCGCCTTTTCGGGTAGAACCCTGAGGCATGCAGCTGTGGCTGGTGTGCCTCTACACCGCCACAGGAGTTCGGGCGGGACCCGCCAAAGACCAGAAAAATTGTTTCCGCCGGGGAGAAATTTATCATCGGAGGAGGATAACATGCTGGATAAGCCTCTCTGGTCATTCTCTGACTTCCTTTGTTCGTTGTAATTTTTTTTTTCCTTTCATCATCTACATACCGACTCTTTTGTCGTGCACTTCCCGGATCTTGTCGAGCCTGTCTCGACTACCCATTCACATAAATGGCGATCCAAAAAAAGGTATGACAGGATCACATAATTCCTCCCTACGTTGGAAGACTTCTTTGCGCTAATATCGACCAGCACGGTAAAGGTCGTCTGGACAAGTGGTATCGCCTTGCGAAAGAAAAGGGATACCGAGCAAGAGCTGCTTTCAAATTGATCCAGCTAAACAAGAAGTATGGTTTCTTGGAAAAGAGCAAAGTCCTTCTGGATCTTTGCGCGGCTCCCGGTGTATGTTTAGTCACTCCCTTTTTTCCGCTGGTTCCTTTGCTTATGATAAATTAGTCGTGGTGTCAAGTAGCGGCAGAATGTATGCCCACACAGAGCATCATTGTCGGTGTCGATCTCGCCCCAATCAAGCCAATTCCTCGAGTCATTACCTTTCAAAGCGATATTACAACAGAAAAGTGTCGCGCGACGATCAGACAACATTTGAAACACTGGAAAGCAGACACTGTTCTTCACGACGGAGCTCCAAATGTTGGTACGGCGTGGGTTCAGGACGCTTTCTCCCAGGCGGAGTTGGTCTTGCAGTCGATGAAGTTGGCCACGGAGTTCTTGGTTGAGGGTGGTACCTTTGTCACCAAAGTCTTCAGATCGAAGGACTACAATCCTCTGCTCTGGGTCTTCAAGCAGCTCTTCACGTCTGTGGAAGCGACAAAGCCTCCTTCTTCCCGAAATGTCTCCGCAGAAATCTTCGTCGTCTGCCGTGGATTCAAAGCTCCAAAACGCATTGACCCCAAATTCCTCGACCCCAAGCATGTTTTTGCAGAATTGACAGATGCTACGCCAAATCACGAAGCGCGTGTATTCAATCCGGAGAAGAAGAAGCGAAAGAGAGAAGGTTACGAGGAAGGTGATTACACACAGTTCAAGGAGATACCGGTCACGGAGTTCATCAACACCACTGATCCGATCGCGATTCTTGGTACTTATAATAAGCTCAGCTTCGAACAATCTCCGGGAGGAGATCTTGCGTTGGCGACTCTGAACAGACTGGAAGAGACCACGGACGAGATTCGAACCTGCTGTGAGGATTTGAAGATTCTAGGCAAAAAAGAATTTCGGAATTTGCTCCGATGGCGCTTAAAGGTCCGTGAAAAGTTTGGGCTTGTAGTCAAAAAAGGGCAAGCGAAGGCCGATGAACCTGAGGAGGTCGCAGAGGTAGCTCCCATGGATGAGGAGTTGGCCATACAGGAAGAGCTACAACGTCTCCAGGAGAAGGAGAGCTCCAAGCGCAAGAAGGAAAGGCGCAAGGAGAACGAGAAGAAGCGCAAAGAAATCGTACGCATGCAAATGCATATGACAACGCCTATGGACATTGGCATGGAGCAACTTGGGCCCGGTGGTGAGGACGCAACTTTCTCATTGAAGCGAGTGGAAAGAGATGGGGCAAGAGACGTCATTGCGTCTGGAAAGGTAGCGGAAATTGAGAGTGACAGTGAGGACGATCAAACGGGATCTGATGACGACGAAAGCGATGATGAAGGCGATCAACTGGAGAGGGAACTCGATTCATTGTACGAACAATACCAGGAACGCAGAGAAGATCGGGACTCCAAAGTACGGGCAAAGAAAGCACGAAAAGACTACGAGGCGGACGAATGGGACGGCTTCTCAGACTCTGACAAGGAAAACGACGAGGAATCAGGGGAAGAGGGCGCGTCCCAAGCGGCGGTCAAGCCAGCTCCTAACTCGGGAACACTCTCCTGCAAGGCCGCGATGTTCTTCGATCAAGACATTTTCCAAGGTCTGGGTGATGTCGACGACGTCGAGGACGAGGACAGCGCAATTGAAATGCAGGAGGACGATAAATCCGCTAAGAAGGGCTCTGCTTTGGAGAAACAAGCGCCCAAGGATGCAAAGAAAAAGGCACAGGCCACTGAAGACTTTTCAGATAGCGAGCCTGAAGAGTCTGACGACCCACGGAAGAAGAACGGCCAACTCGGTATGTTTCCATGAGTAGGTACCTTTCAGACGGCGTCACTAACCTTTTTTTTTACCCCAGATATCGATATCATCACCGCAGAAGCCATGGCGCTCGCCCAGCAAATGGCTACTGGTGAAAAGAAGTCCCAGGACATTGTTGATGACGGTTTCAATCGGTACACCTTCCGGGATGTTGACGGTCTCCCCGAATGGTTCCTCGACGACGAAAACAAGCATTCTAAGCCCCAACGGCCTATCACGAAGGCGGCTGCGGCCGCAATCAAGGAAAAGCTGCGTGCCATCAATGCTCGGCCCATCAAGAAGGTGATGGAGGCTAAGGGCCGTAAAAAGATGAAGGCTGCTCAGAGACTCGAGAAACTGCGCAAGAAGTCTGCTTTGCTGGCAGATGACGAGGCGCTCAGTGAAAGGGACAAGTCGCAGGCCATTGCAAAGTTGATGAGCAAAGCGGTCAAGAAGAAACCCAAGCAGCAGGTGAAGCTGGTTGTTGCTAAGGGAGCCAACAGAGGTATCTCCGGTCGTCCACGCGGAGTGAAGGGCAGATACAAGATTGTGGACTCGCGTATGAAGAAGGATATCCGGGCTCAAAAAAGATTGGCCAAGAAGAAGAAATAGACGGACAGCAGACTATGTGTATGATATTGGGATTTTTCAATCATACATATGAACTACAGTTTGATACCCTCAGGGCTGGCTTTACTTCAGTAAGAAAATAGCAGCAACCATAGGTTTACCTGAATGGTGGCGTTAAATCACCCGTTCTAGTTCTACATGTATGTTTGCATTGACCTTCAAAACATGAATGGCAACTTGTTTAAGTCGACAGTCAGCAGTCAACTGTTGATACTATTCCCCAAGTGTTGGGAGACCCCACAGTTGTGTGGAGATGGTGCATGGATTGTGCATAAGTAGTGAATACTAATATACGCACTAAGCCTAATATAGAAATTCTAACCCGCAGTGGCAATTGTCAAAGGGCTTTAGTGCCTTGAGGCCTGAGGCTATTAATGAATGACTATCATCTGTCTTAGCCTGCTCACTTTTCGCGGCTCTTCTTCCCTTTTCCTTGTGCCCTGTACTTCAAAGTCTTTTTCCCTCTATTATTTGCATTGCATTCTTGTTGATCATTCTTGTCTATGGGACTTTTGCATATGAACTCCATATCATAGCGTGTGCTATTGTCTTCTTTGTCCATATTTCTACACGCGTCAACATATTTTTACCTCCCCGCCGCAGACCGATTTCGCCAACTCCCCTCCATGGGATTTTTCGATCACCTCCAGAAAGGAGGCGCTTTTTCCCTGCAGGCTCAGAAGCCACAGATTCGTAAGGTTGTCCAGAACCGGCCCGCACCGCCCTCAAGATCGTCGTCGCACACCCCCGTCAGATTATCGTCGCAGACCTCACCCCGGAGAAGACCAAAAGACCGCGAGACTCCACTAGCCGGTCTGTTTCGAGTGATCCTGATCGTCGCCCGTCGAAGCGTTTAAGTACCCCCTTGCGAAATAGGAAACGGCCAACTCCCGAGCAACGGCTCTCGAGTGACGACGATGACGCAAGTGACACGGATACATCATTTGAGTTGCGCAAGCGGGCAAGAACGGAGGATAGTGCGGAGCCTGACCTCGCGAGGCGCATACGGTCTTTGAAAGCATTTTCGGAGGAGAATGTTAAACCACTGCCGTTGGTCCACGCTGCAGATATTACATCCAAGCAAAAAGCTGGAAACTTCAAACGCGCGTTTGGTGGGGCGGACCGGCCGACGGAGATTCTTCTGCAGTATCCTAGTGCTTCACTGAAAGAAAGGTACGCATTTCAGGTCTAGTGATATCCATAATCCTGTCTAACTGCTTGGTTTGATGTAGATTCAACCTCGTCGTGCCCCGCGACAACGATGATTTCAAGCCTATTGATGATATCGTTCATGTTATCGACACCGTTTCTGAGAACTATATTCCTGAGAGTGAAGCGGATTTCTTCAACAATGAGTCGACAGGTATCAAACGGAGATTGCGTCGAGCTTTGGCACATTCGTCCGAGACGGAATTCCGAGAAGCTGTGGCCGACTACAATCATCAGATCGAACGGTTAAGACGTAGTGGGGCCATTGCTAAACATTTGGACGCGACACATCGGTTGAACCTGCCGCTGGTAGAGAGGATATTGACACAGATTTACGCCCGTACTGTATCCCCTCGAGTTGAATCTCTTCGCCGGTACGAAAACGGAACAGACAACGTTTACGGGGAGCTCCTGCCTCGTTTCATCAGCACAATCTTCAAAGAAACTCGACTAAAATCGGGGCAAGTCTTTGTCGATCTGGGATCTGGGGTTGGTAACGTGGTTTTGCAAGCTGCGCTTGAAATTGGATGTGAAAGTTGGGGTTGCGAGATGATGGCCAATGCTTGTGACCTGGCAGAACTTCAGCAGACCGAGTTCAGAGCACGCTGCCGGCTCTGGGGTATTGCGCCAGGGAAAACACACCTTGTCCGCGGCGACTTTCTGCAAGAGCAAAGCATCATTGATGTTTTGAAACGCGCAGATGTTGTTCTGATCAACAACCAGGCCTTTACACCTCAGCTCAACAATGAGATTATCAATCACTTCTTGGATATGAAGGAGGGCTGCCAGATTGTGTCTCTCAAGTCTTTTGTCCCTGCCGGTCACAAGATTCAGTCTCGCAATCTGTACTCCCCGATCAACCTTTTGAAGGTCAAGCAGTTGAATTATTGGTCAAATAGTGTCAGCTGGACTGACGTTGGGGGCACATATTTTATTGCCACCAAAGATAGTTCCAGGCTCAAGGCTTTTGCGGATAGCATGGAGTGAGCGAACTCGATCACTGCATCATGATGCATTTCATTACTGTTGCATGGCATTACGACTAAGGGTGCACAATCCCTGGCATTACCTCGCCTTTTTTGACATTTTGATTTTTACGTGAATATTTTCGCTTTGGGTACCCCCGTATATATCAGCATGTTTGTTGACATTCTTTCGGGCCATGCCTTGGAGCAATGAGTTTTCTTTTGGAAATATTCTCTCTTGTTCCATGATACCTTTCTGTTATGACGATCCACCATCCTTTTTGGCATATTCCGTCAATCCCATCGCAAGATGGCCTTCATGTCATATTCCATGTGCGCGAATCTTAGGGGTGAAGGCCAGTTTGTGACCAAATGAAGAGACGCACGCTGTCTGCGGTGGCTCTGGCCAGCCGGATTGACTTTTGGGTGGACTCTTGGATACCATTTCTTGTATGAATAGATGAGTTAGTTAGACGGGGACGATATCAATCTTATGTACATGGAAAATTGTTAACCCGGGGATGGCATATTGAAGCTGGAAGCTCTTTTTTGGGACTCTGAATCCCCCTAATTAAGCCCCGTTGGTGATGCAGCTCAGGAGAATTTCGAGGCATTGTTCATGGCCTCTGCTTCTCTGCCAATCCTGGCCATCCAGCGATCAATCAGCTCCTGGTTCTCACGCTGTAGCCTGCTGGATCGCTCTTCGGCCATGTTAAGCTGCAGATTCAGAGTCGCGAGTTCGTCTTGGAAGTCCTACGAAGCGACCGTATCAGCAAACAAGTGGCTGCATGGCGGACGAATGAATGACATGCCTCGAGTAACTTGGCCTTCCCCTTCAATTCTGCATCCCTATCCTTTACGCGCATTTGTAGATGAGTTACTTCACTCTCCAAAGCATGGATACGTCTTCCATCTTGCGTGCTTCTCTTCCGTAGCTTCTCCAACTCGGTGCTCAGCTCAGTCAGCCGGGCCTGCAACTCCGAACGAGCACGTTGGGCTTCGGAAAGATCCGCACGTGTAGCTGCTAGAATATCAGGAACAAATGGGCCTGCCAATGACTTCCCAGCTGCAGGGATCGCTGTATGTTTGTCTCCAGCCCCTGTGAGATATTGGGCACCTTGAGCTCCAGCGGATGCAATTCGGCTAGTTCGATCGGCCAGCTGCGTATCTAATCGTTGACAGTTTGTTAGATTATCCTCTTACAAAAGCTTCGCAGTCGCCAGGCCATAGACCTTATCCAGTGGCATACAAGCATTATAGAGAGCGACATTTGCCTTTTCTCGGCGATCGCGCGCCGCCAGAGCGGCGGAGTACTCATTCCTCCAGTGAGCCATGTGATAGTCTTCCGGCGATGGGGGCGGGACAGTTGACAGCAGTTCTTGTCGGGTTACGAATACATTTTTAATCCTGTAGATAGCGTAGATCAAAGAGGACGGTGAAATGACATACAACGCTCGACATGGAGTCTTCTACTGCGACATTCTATGACAGGCAACGAACGGTTGTTGATAAGCGACGATAACGAATATTGTCTCAGGCACCCACTTACACCGCCTCGGCCACCGCTCGGGCCATCATGCATCATCGAACCCAACGGGCCCAGTTAGCGTCGGCTCATCACTGCAAGACCCAACAGCTGCGCTGCTAACTGTTGCTGCTCCTCATCTCTGCTACATACGTCCAGTATACCTCTACCCTTTGGGCCTTTGACGACTGCAGACTTTCTCATCCTCTGGCACTACTGCGCTTTTGACAGGCTTTCCGCATCCCCCTTGTCTTTTGCTAGGAATATCCTGCCTTTCCCCCGCTCTCCACCACCATGGCGTCACGCAAGAAGGTCTTGCTGAAGGTACATATTCCTCAATGCATACGACAGTCGGGGCTCTTTAAATTGCTGAGCGATTACTTACGTACCTTTGGGGCTCCTAGGTAATCATTCTGGGCGACAGTGGTGTTGGCAAAACGAGCTTGATGAACCAATATGTCAGTGGCCTCATTTCGGCGATTGATGGATATCGTCCAAGCCGCTAACCTCCATCCGATCGGTAGGTCAACAAGAAGTTCAGTGCAAGCTACAAGGCCACTATCGGCGCCGATTTCCTCACGAAAGAGGTGCTCGTAGACGACCGTCTGGTAACAATGCAGGCATGTGTACCGCCCATGGCTCGCATATTCGCCGAGGATTGCGAATTAACCTGTGGATAGATCTGGGATACTGCGGGTCAAGAGCGATTTCAGTCTTTAGGCGTTGCATTCTACCGGGGTGCGGATTGCTGTGTTCTGGTATACGATGTGAATAATTCCAAGAGCTTCGAGGCTCTCGACAGTTGGCGCGACGAATTCCTCATCCAAGCGAGCCCTCGCGACCCGGAGAGCTTTCCTTTCGTACGATCCTCCCCTGCCACTCCCTGACCTTTGATGTGCAAACGGGCAGATGCTGACCAGGTTTCAGGTTGTGATCGGCAACAAGATTGATGTGGAGGAAAGCAAGCGGATGATTTCTTCCAAACGCGCCATGACTTTCTGCCAATCCAAGGGCAACATCCCTTACTTCGAGACAAGCGCTAAGGAAGCAGTCAACGTGGAGCAGGCTTTCGAGGGTATGTGACCAATTTCCGCTTAAACATGAACAGAGAATGCTGTGCTAATATGCTGAAAGTCATCGCCCGAAGCGCCCTGGCTCAAGAAGAGGCTGAGGAGTTCAACGGCGAATTCAGCGATCCCATCAACATCCACCTCGATAGTGACCGTGATGGCTGTGCTTGTTGATGCGCTTCTGAGATGGCCATGACCTTTGAACGATTTCCAACACGGCTGCTATTCTTGATTCATTCATGTCCTGCGTTTGTGGTTTGTAGAGCTGTTTCTTTCTTCGTTCCATTTGGCGAGCTTGGAGGATTGTACTTTCTACGATAGTTTGGGATCCATATATACCTTCAAAGTTCCTCGGTGTACCAAGTTTGCCTGTTTACTATTGTCTGTCGGGTCGCAAGGGTATCATATGGGTTTCAAGCTTTTTGACTCTTCTTTTCTTGCTTATCGGTGATAACCTTTTGCTTTTTCCACAGCATACTCAATCAATCGAGAGTCACGCACATAATCCTGCTGCACATGCGCTTATTTTCTTTGTAGCTCCTATCATTTAATTAAAATAATGAGATTGAACTTTCAGCGCAAGAAGAAGCAAAAATGGTACAGGTATGCCGTATGCCGAGTAGCAGCCGTGATCAAGTCTCGTGCCTTATCAGGGCGCTCGTGATGCTTGGCATATATTCCATAATCATCAGTGTCTCCATGATCGGAATGAACCCCCCACTTCAAGGCGCTCACGCTGAAACACTACGGACCAGGCCATCTACCCTCGACACCGCCTGTTGCCAAATGGGATTTATGGACTCGACTCTCCATCCTAGCATCGGCGCGCCACGATTTGTAGGATATCGTGCTCCATGATCCGTGATCACAAATTGGTCTAATCGGTCGGGCACCTTCAATCAATGACCAGGCTCCTCGTCGCTCGTTTCTTCAACTTATCTTTATGAAAATCGTTCTGTCCCCATAAGTTGTTCAATACTACAACTTGCCCATGGAGACATATAGTTGGCGTGCTCCCAGCTGGACTGGGGCCGCAAGACGGTCGCTAGGCATCTGTCTCCTACTACTCGTGGTGGTCTTGTGGACGGCTTCGAACTTTCTGGCTAGTGTATGTGCATGTCAAAAAGAGACTTCCGAAATGATCGTGTTCGATGCTGTGCATCTGGGACTTCGTTAGGGCTGGTATCCTGCTACACGCGTGCTAACTGTACATTTCCCATCCCTTTTAGACCATCTTCGCGGATAATTCATACTCGAAACCGTTCTTTGTGACCTACATCAACAGCTCGCTGTTCATTATTCCTCTCCTCTCGATCATCCTGGGCAGACTATTCAAACTATGGCGCCAGGGTAGATTGTCTCAGATCGATTCTATTCAAAGCCTGTTGCTCCATCTTGATTCGCACGATTCGAAGCGCGAGGCACCCGACGTGCTGCATCCCTCCTCTTTCGCAGATAGACAACAGAGTGAGAACGAAGTTGATAGCTCTAGCAAGCTGGGCTTGAGGGCGACTGCGAAATTGAGCTTCCAATTTTGTCTATTATGGGTAAGGAATGGGCATGACAAGCACCTTCAGTATACAAGCTAACAAGCATGAATAGGTCCTTGTAAGTTAACTACTGCCAACATACCAACTTTGAGCCGGCGCCTGACTTGTACAGGCGAATTATTTCGCAATGGCCTGTCTGCAATACACAACAGTAGGAAGTACCACCATCCTAACTTCAACTAGCGGTACGTACTCAGCAATCCCACGGAGATCGATTGGTAAGTTCGAGGCTAACACATCCTTCCAGGGGTCTGGACCCTCATCTTCGGCGCAATGATCGGGGTGGAACGGTTCACCGTCCGCAAACTCGCCGGCGTTATCGCTTCCCTGATCGGAATCATCCTCATCTCCCGAGTAGATCTGTCGTCAACGGACTCTTCGCCCGGAGATGATGGCAGTTCCGGTACCTTCCCCCACAAGACGACCGCCGAGATTGCCCTCGGCGATGCGATGGCCGCATTCAGCGCAGTCATGTACGGCGTCTACACTATCGTCCTGAAAAGGCAAGTCGGCGATGAGTCGCGGGTCAATATGGTGTTGTTCTTCGGGCTAGTGGGACTCTTTAATATGCTCTTGCTCTGGCCGGGATTCGTCATCTTACATTTCACCGGGATCGAGCCGTTCGTTCTCCCTGATACCGGGAGAATATGGACTATAGTGCTGGTAAGGAATACGTCGTGACAATAACCTGACCCCTGCGGCGCCATGGACTGACGTTTGCATTTCTACAGGTAAATTCATTCTCATCACTAGTTTCAGATATATGTTGGGCGTATGCGATGCTCCTTACCACTCCGCTTGTCGTGACTGTCGGGCTGAGTCTGACCATCCCGCTGTCGCTTGTGGGTCAAATCTTCCTGCAGGGACAGTATTCGAGTGCGATATACTGGGTTGGTGCCGCTATAGTATTTTTGTCATTCCTGGTGGTCAACCATGAGAGTCGCGATGATAAGTTGGGGGCAACCTCGGCGGGCGGGTACGATGCTGTTCCTGGTGACGAGACAGGCGATACCGCTTGATGAAGAGCTTCCATACGGGTTGGGCTAGAAGTGAACCCTCTTTACGTCCTTCACACATCGTTATTCTTGATAGACAGAGGACCAATAATCCATTAAAATTATTAGGCGTCATACAGCCAGTGTGTAACACTAATCAGACACTGATTTCCATCGTCCGTTGCCAGTGGAAGAACAATCACGAAAGACAAGCAAGGAAAATACCAGAAGGAACGAGATCATGATGATACAGCAAAAGAAGTCAAGACTGGTCATTAAAAATTGCCATGAACCCGACAATGTTGAGTAGTCTCGGTATCCCATGAGAGCAATACAAGAAGGGATGACAAAAGGGGAATAAACGAACAGCCATCACAAGAAGGGGTATGTACGTCATGAAACAAATATAATAGTAAGGAAGAAACGCTGTGCAAAGGAGAGGACCTTAGGTCACTTGAGATCTGCAACGAGTGAAGAAAATGGTCGGAATGAAGAGAACGAAAATTGAAATTGAGCCAGTAGCCAGCATATGTGTTTGTTTGTTCCACATCAAAGTTAATATTCATGGTGCTGATGCTCCTGGTGCGGGCTCCAACTTCTTGCGCGCAACAATAATACTCTTCAAGGAGCCTAACCACTTGGCAAGAGATTCTTCGTCAGGTGCGCATAGTCGGTACGATTTGTCTTCGGCGATTATCTGAAGACAGAACTTCTTTGAACGTGAAAGAGGATCAACTTCGGCAGCTTCGATAACCTGAGACATGGGCAAGATTTTGATAGCGGAGTACTCCTAGTCGTCAATGTTAGCTTGTTGCCCATGTGAGAAAATATCGTATAGGACTATCGTACTTGTTCATCCTTATAGAACCCAAGGCTCTTTGGCCTCAAGACGACCCACAGACGCTTCCACTGGCGGACCGCGCCTTTGATTCGAAGGCACTGGAGATAGCCGTTGCAAATAACTCTCTCTGGATCGCGGAGGATTCCCAAGTCCTGACTGCGACCAACATCTCGCGGTTGCAGTTGTTGTCCACCCACAGGGGCCGAGGTAGACAAATTCTGCAGGGAACGGTTGGGCTTCATGTGAGTACTGGTGTTACTTGTAGGTCCATCAGACCACTCCGAATAGGAAGTAATCTCATTTCCCGAGTGGTCTTGTAGGGAGCCGTATCGATTGGAATAGCGGCCAGGTGAAAGTGACCGTCCCAATTCAGGCGAGCTGGCTCTTCCCGGATATTCGAATTCCGAGTGATCTGTAGTATCCTCAACGTGCTGCCTATCGGTCACCGGCGCATTTCTATTCCGCGACAGAGCCAAGAAGGCTTCTTCTTCCTCGTCCGCACGAGTTTCAGCACGAATACGCCTAATCCAGTCCTCTGCATCCTTCTCTGACAAAGCCTGGAAGCGGTAATTTTTGGAAGGCGAGAATATACCGAAGACGTGTTGTCGAGATGATCGCGGGGATTTGACCGGAGCAACCGCTGTGACTTCCGAAAGAGTTATGGAAGCCCGAAGTCTTGTCGTTTCCTCATCTTTATATACCGACAGGAGGTTCGGGCGGAGGACGAGGTAGGCAGGCTTCCAAGAAGCTCGGAATGCCTAAAAGAGGATATTAGTTAGGACATAACAACAAGTGCTTCTGTATCGAAAGCGACTTACATGCTTGTGTTTCACTCGACGATGCACCTTCCCGGTTTTCAGGACTCGATCGAACTCAAAGCTACCATTTTCGTTGACTGGGGAAAATGTGTCCAAGTTGACATGGCCATTGCGAACGGCGGGGGAGGGGTGTATAGGCCGTAAAAATGTAGACTGCTGGACAGTGCCGTCGGGAAACTGAATCGAGGGGGCTTTCATATGCGCCTCCGAGATTGGCGGGTAGGAGCTCGACATTGTTTGATCCATCGTGGTCGCAGACTTCCTTTCGAAGGGACAAAATTAAGATTATGAAAAATCACGGAGGGTTTAGTATGGAGACCACATGCCCAGGCCGCAAGCTGAAGCGAAAAGGTGCCTATGATGAGGATCCTGATTCAAAATTGTATGACCGCATCTGAAGAGACACTGCGGGACAGGTCCCTATGAAATACGAAACGAGGACCTGAGAACGTAGGCAGAAACGATGGGAATATTTCTGACTAGTTCCCAGGTGAAGGGCAACTTTCCGTCTGATTGTCTGGGAGGCTTGACGGCACAGCGTCACAAGGACCGACGGTCCCTCGGACGTCCTAGGAGGGGTGAAATCAACCCCGAATTGAAAGAAATTAAGATGCGGCGATGACGGTCGTGTGGAGAAGAAGACCTTAGAAGGTGCAGAATGCGCTGCACTTAATGAGGGACGGCACTCTCTTGTTTTCAAGGTTTGTTCGTTGTGATGAGCTGTAAGTAAAGAGAAAATGTATTGGGGAACAATTACCCTTTCTCGAAGGAAGTTCCTCCATCACAGTCCCATGGAACGCATGGGCGGCTTTTAATGAGTACTTGGTAGATCATCCGACAGGAGATGCTTCGAGGTCTGGGAACGTCGGGTGAAGCTGCTGCTAGATAACTACTAAGGAGTAGACTACTTCTTACTTGAGGTGAGGGCGGCAACTCCTCCCGGTCCTGAATCAAGCTCTGTTTCGAATCGACTCCTTTTCTACCGGTTGATTGGACTTGAATCTGCTTCGCCGTAGAATTGAGGGAATACTTTTACTCCATCGCAAGCTTCACTGATCTGGTATAGAATCAACCTCTCGTGAATGACCTCTACGCTACTTACTCTACTTCACACTTCAGTATCGGCTGTGCTTGTCTTCTCAGGGGCGCATAGCTCTCTTCCGATGCATAAATGGTGCTTGATTCGGTAGTAATAGCTTAATACAAGGGTAGGCTGGTTACTAGATAGATGCTTTAGTGGTTGACCAAAGAGGATTATTGGATAACCCCTTATTTTTAATTCTGGATGCAAGTATCTCAGCTACCTGCCTGAGTGAAAATATGGGTAAATATTTGATCGCTTTTTAAGAAAAAGAATAATAGCAAATCATCTCATTCCACCTCTTGGGATTGTAGATTTGAGCTTGTGTTTGAACTCCCAAGGACAGCACACTAAGTTCTGACTACCATTTCTAAAAACAACGACGTACTAACAACGGTCCAGACCCTTCGCTGGTCAAGGAAAAAAGGGAGGCGAAAGAGGCCACCTTGACAGATCCTTTAGACCAAGGGTCACGTGTGGGTCTGAAGGGTTCGACTTCAGGGAGGTACCTGAGGTTTCTATCTTCTCCATAGCCTATTACCGTACCTTTAGCTTAATGTACGTGAAATACCAAGTCATGAGGTAAGGTAAGGTAGGTACAGATACGGAGTACCTAGGGATGAACTCCTCATTCGGTGGTACCTGAGGGAAGATCCCTCCAGTCGGGATTGTCATTACTTTACATTTCTTTCTGTATCATCGGGCCGGTAGTCCATGATGATTGATGAGCACACCTCGGTAGGAGTACTGAAATTAAGGGAGGACTTTCTTGAGATGATAGGTAGATAGTTCTTCAGGAAAGCACACGCACTCACAACACACTACTCGCTGGCATGCCAGAATTGTGGGAGAATCTCCTGATCAATAATAGCACCTCCTCGATGTACTGTGTACTCCCTTGTACCTTTGTAATTATCAGTGGTGTAGGCGAGTCCACATGCGACTATATATGCATGCTTCAAAAGTTAAATATTGCCAATCAGCTAATATCAAATCTCCATAGTTGACCCTGGATGGAGAGTACGGAGCATTATGCGCTGCGTACTCCAAGAGGTACGTGGTTGAATATTTGGATAGACAAAAGATCAATGCGCTCTTCTATAGCAGAACATCGCAGTCAGAGAAAAAGGATGTCTTGATTCTATAATTATCTGTTATCAAAGTCCTTATTCATCTAATCATTGATACGGATATTGTAATGACTCAGTAGTAGTGATCTGATACCTAGGTAAGGCAGTACCTGCAACTCAGGAAGCAGTCGAAGAAAATGGCTGCAGGTACCTTTTTAAGGTCGTAGGTACCTCAGATTATCTACTGTGTACTGCCGGTGGTATTACGGCTTGAGCCGCTTGTAAACTTACCGTTCCGGTGTGACAGTGACCACAGCGAGCAGCTTGCGCCTCCTTGGGCTTGGCGGAATCTCCCAATTCTCCCATCCCCAAAATCATACCCTCAAACCTTCGCCCCGTCGTTGGATGCCTCCCGCAATTTTTCCACCTCCCCATCCAATTCTTCCCCCAACCCCATTTGTGATTGATGACCTCGTCGACTACCCCCGTGTCTTCGGCCTCACTGCTTAGGACAACGGTCCCCTGCGTTGCTTTCAACGCTTTTCGCACCTGCTCGCATCAGGTCGATTGAAGAGGGAAAAGTTGGAAAGAGAAAGGAGGTTCTCCTCCGGCCGCTCGTTTTTCTTTGCTGGTCTTTTTTTCCTTTCTTGATTGCGAACTTATTCTTACCTTGTTCTATACTCTTCTATTCCCATTCCTGTCCATATTTCTGCGATCTGCAGCTGGTATACATCCATCAGCTTTCGATTCCCTGTTGTCTCGCGTGCGGATTGTTGCAAACCACTTCAGCATCTATCCTCTGCTCATCAACCACGGCTCTTGTTCAGACTAGCCTGCTAGTCCGGACTCGGACAGAGCCTTGAATCTACCGCTGGAACCTGACATTGGTGTTTTGCGTCGACTTGTTCGAAGTCGACGCAGCGTGGAGACACTGCCATCATGAGCTTCATTCAGCGTATTGTGAAGCGGTTGCCCTCAACGCCGAATCTACCCTTCGATGACAGCTCACGCGAAAAGGCTCGGAATTTCTCCAGATTCGCTTTCCTGAAGCGCAGGATACGATTAAAGGGCAACTCGTCGATTTCCATACCCCTAGGCTTTGTTCTGTTATTTCCGTGCCTTGTGATTATCCTCATTTTACTCTTGTTCGTACGACATCCAGCCTCTCCTGGCGGGATTCTCATTCCAGCGGGCACTCCGCCCTCGATCAGGTTCGACTCTCATCCACAGCCCCTTCATCGTACCAATCCTCAAAGCTAACGTGCCATTCTTTGCTACAGGAGAATAAGTGAGAAATATGACAAGGTCTTCGCTACTGGCTGCTTGCCAGTTGAAGAGGTGCCCCCTGACTATAAACGGGCGAATGCTGCGTTTGTCGTTCTCGCCCGTAACAAGGAGTTGGAGGGTGTCGTTCAGTCACTGAAATCCATCGAACGTCACTTCAATCGCTGGTACCACTATCCATATGTATTCTTGAACGACGGCGACTTCGACGATGACTTCAAGGCCACCGTCAAGAATTACACGAGCGCCCCTGTGGAGTTTGGCAAGATCGATGAGACCATGTGGGGTTTCCCCGACTGGGTTGACCACGAGGTTGCCAAGGAAGGTATCAGAAAACAGGGAGATGCTGCAATCATGTATGGAGGCATGGAAAGTTACCATCATATGTGCAGATTCTATTCTGGGTGAGTGTCTCGCGGTTTGTTGTGGTTAGCTATGATTGACGTGGCGGCAGGTTTTTCTACAAGCATCCTCTCCTCATGAAGTACGAGTGGTACTGGCGTCTTGAGCCGGAGATCAAGTACTTCTGCGATATCACATAGTACGCATAGCACTCTCGTCTTTGCAACTGGCCGCATCCTCTAACTACGGACAATAGTGACCCTTTTATCATGATGGCCGAGTCTAATAAGACTTACGGTTTCACTATCGCCGTCAAAGAACTTCGCGAAACTGTACCCAACATCTTCCGCTACGCGTCCGCCTATATGCGAAAGAATAACCTCAAATCGAAGGGACTTTGGGAGATGTTTCTTGAGAGACCTGAACAGGAGGAACCCAAGCCGGAAGAAGAACAGAAGAAGGACAAGCTTCCCGACGAGATACTCCTTACCGATCCGGGCGAGAATGCACTTCCTGAAGTTGATCCAGAGGCTATGGAGGGCGAGAAGTACAATATGTGTCATTTCTGGAGTAACTTCGAAATCGCACGCCTGGATTGGTTCCGCAGCAAAGAATATGAGGATTTCTTCGAGATGATGGACAAGAGCGGGGGCTTCTGGATGGAGAGAGTAAGTTCGCAATTCCCTCGTGGTCTTTATTTGGCTCGACTGACACCTGTTTTTTAAAAAAAAACAGTGGGGTGATGCGCCTATCCACTCGCTAGCCGCTGGCGCTCTCTTATCTCCCAGCGACATCCACTACTTCCGTGATTTTGGCTATCGTCACACCACGATCCAACACTGTCCTGCAAATGCGCCCGCGCGACAACTGCCCCGAATTCCATATCTGGAAAAGACCACGTTGGACGAGAAGGCGCGAATCGAAGAAGATGAATACTGGGCGACTTTTGACGCCGTCAAGGAGAACGGTGTCGGTTGCAGATGCAGGTGTGATACTGATATTGTGGATGTTGAAGGCAAACAAGGCAGCTGTCTCGCCGAATGGGTAGAAGTTGCTGGAGGATGGGCATCTCCATAGACCTGAATTGCCTTTGGAACCCGTCAATGTACTCTGTATAATGTTTGCAACACCCTTTCCATGCCTACTTGTTCGATTATGAGCGCTACTTGGGTCGTCCTGGGAGTTTTTTGCTTGGGCCTGCAGAATGTGTTGGCCGTGGGGTCTTCTGGACGGCGTTTAACGGATCTGACGACTTCTCATACGGAAGACGGTGTGACACCCTCATATTGACAGATTCATCTAGCGTGCTTCGTACATCTCGTTTGGATTGCCACATTCTATAATTCTTGTCGAAATCTTCATCTCCTTTCAGAGAATACCTTGACCGACTTTCCGAAGAGTTGTCTTTTGCGCATTACTGATCCCACTCTTCGACGATGCAGCTTTCAAAGCTGTGGCTCACGCGCCGCCAGCGACGGACTCGTGTAGAGTCTTCTTTCCGCAGGCTCCTGTTACCAGACAGATGCCTTGGAGATTCTTCCTTCGGCCTGCCGCGGTTTTGAGCGAGTGCTGTTCTC